CCACTTGCATGTGAGGAAGTAGGAGTACCAGATTCCCACTCTCCAGCTTCCAGCTTTCACTTCACTGGATAAGCTTTGTCTGATGTTCGTACTATTTATAAAAAAGAAAATTTGCTCGCCCAAAGTTTTCTTTTTACGCTTTTGCCATCCTTCCCATTTGCCCCATCTATTTATTGGCACCACCATCAGAAAGAACTCTGTACGTATAAATATATATGCAGAGGAAACAGAGCAGAGTGAGGTCTTTGGATATGGCGGTGCTTCCTTATAATGCAGTTTTCCTCCTCTTCATCCTCACCGCCTTACACGCTGTAAACCTAGCAAGTAAGTTTACTCAGGTCTGCTGTGAATTTTGCTTATTTTATATGCAAATCGAAGGTAGATGTTGATAATTTTTCTCTGTGTTTCATTTCTTCTGGCCTCTGTAAATTTTTCCGGTTGTACACTACTGCTGAATTGCTAGAGAAGAAAGATAGCTTTGCTATTATTATATTGGTAACCTTTTCTGACATAACGATTTCGAGCGTTTTCCACCGTAGTGCGTAATCGTTCGGAGAGAGAAAATAGTTTGACTGCTGAGAAAATACGAGGGAAATTAACCCACAAGAACAGAAACGAAAAATTGTTTTCTTCTTCTTCTTTTCTTTTTTTAATTCAAGGATTTTTTAGTAGCATTAATTAAGTTAAATAGCTAAAAATACGTTTCCTTGTTTTGTAGATTCCCAGTCATTCATTGGCGTTAACTACGGCCAAGTCGCCGACAACCTCCCTCCAACGTCAGCGACTGTGAAACTGCTCCAGTCTACCACCATACAGAAGGTCCGATTGTACGGATCTGACCCGGCTGTCATCAAAGCATTGGCGAACACCGGAATCGGAATAGTCATCGGAGCAGCCAACGGCGCCATTCCTGCACTGGCTTCCGACCTGAACTTCGCCAAGAACTGGGTTAATACCAACGTAGCCCCGTTCTATCCGGCGAGCAAGATCATCCTCATCACCGTCGGCAACGAGGTCATGACCTCCGGTGACCAGAATCTCATGAACCAGCTTTTGCCAGCTATGCAAAATATGCAAAACGCCCTCGACTCGGTGTCTCTCGGTGGCAAGATTAAAGTATCCACCGTCCATTCCATGGCGGTGCTCAAGCAGTCCGAACCTCCGTCTTCTGGATCATTCGACCCTAGCTTTGCCGACGTGATGAAGGGACTGTTGGGGTTCAACAAGAACACCGGTTCACCTTTCGCCATCAACCCATACCCTTACTTCGCCTACCGGAGCGACCCGAGACCTGAAACTCTCGCCTTCTGTCTATTTCAACCGAATGCAGGGCGGTTCGACTCCAACACCAAGATCAATTACATGAACATGTTCGACGCTCAAGTGGGTTTCTAATTTGAATCTTTAACTCAAAGTTTTAATAATTCTCTTTTTTTTTTTTTCGTTTTCCTGTGTGTTGACGAATCATGGGTTTGTTTCGAAGGTGGATGCTGTGCACTCTGCGTTGAGTTCAATGGGGTTTAAGGACGTGGAAATTGTGGTGGCGGAGACCGGGTGGCCTTACAAAGGAGACAGCAATGAAGTAGGGCCAAGTGTTGAGAACGCCAAGGCTTATAATGGGAATTTGATTGCGCACCTTCGGTCAATGGCAGGAACTCCATTGATGCCAGGAAAACCAGTTGACACTTACCTGTTTGCTTTATATGATGAGGACCTGAAACCAGGACCTACTTCTGAGCGAGCGTTTGGGCTTTTTAAGCCTGATCTCACAATGACATACGATGTTGGTCTCATGACCAAAGGTGGCAGCAGCCAGGTAAAATATATATTTTATCAATTTGACATGTAAATATCTATATTAGCACAAACTTTTGGGAAAAAAACTCGGAAACACTCAATCTAACTCGAACTCAAAAACTTCATAAAATATGAAATTACCCATTACTCATGGTTCGCAGTACACTTTTTAGATTTCATGTGTTAACGAGAACCTTTTTACTTGAAGACCCCGGCTAGTCCCAAAGCACCAACAAATCCATCACCTAGTCCGAAAAATCCTGTATGGTGCGTGCCAAAGGCAGATGTATCAAATGCCCAATTGCAGGCAAATCTGGATTATGTTTGCGGGCGAGGCCTTGATTGCAGTCCAATTCAACCGGGCGGAGCTTGTTTCGAGCCAAACACGATAGCATCACATGCAGCATTTGCCATGAATCTGCTTTATCAAACTGCTGGTCGGAATCCATGGGACTGCGATTTCTCTCAGACAGCTACTCTCTCATCTAACAATCCCAGTAAGTCTAATTTCCATATCAAGATTTAAGCCTAATGCTACATGTGAAGTGTATGTTTATTGGTCATTGCACACTAAGCTTTTTTCTCTCAACTCTTAAAGGCTACGACGGTTGCAGCTATCCAGCTGGGAGTACTTGAATAAAAAGCATCGGGCGGCTCTACTTTATTCTCAGTTATTGCCTTTAGCATCAGATTCAGCCTTCTGTTTCCTTTTCATATTTATTATATATCTGTAATTAATTTAACTATATATATGTGTATCTTTTAAAGTACACATAATTGTAAGATTAGCTTATACAGATTTGCATGTGGTTTGCTTTAATGGTGTTTTTTCTCGGTTCATTGTTTGCATTTGTTACTGAGTGATAGCTAATTAAGTGTTACTTTTAGTAGTTAATCGATAATTAATTAGATTAAATCATTTACACATAAATCTAAGAAAATTCTAAAATTCAACATATTTAGAATAACATAATTGAAATATTTAATCAGCTTGTTAAAATTTTAAAACCAAAACTTCTAATTACAAACAATTTAATATCAATAAACGTGAACAACTAAACTCCTTAATCTATCTATAGTGCATTATAATGTTTTTTTGCATAATTATATCAAATTTATATATTAAACTTAATTATTTAATCATTTGATTTGATTTTATTTTTAGTTTTTTTTTAAATAATGAATATACAAACGGAAATTATAAATATTCTAATACAATTTAAGTATATGACTCAAATCACCCTTGAATTTTTTTGCTTACCAGCACACCAACTAGGGAAAATTACTTTTTCTAATTCCAACAATGTACAACAATCAAATTCATGATCAGTCTCATCAGAAAATAAATTTTCGGTCAGCATTGTTGGCCTGTTCCGTCGGAAACCTTTATGGAATTTTTTGTAATAGCGTGCAGAATATCAAATCCGTTGTCGTCCAGCGGTTAGGATGTCTGGCTTTCACCCAGGAGACCCGGGTTCGATTCCCGGCAACGGAAATTTTTTAATTTCTCTTTCGAAATATCATGATATATTAAACTATGAGAATGAAACAACAAATCCGTTGTCGTCCAGCGGTTAGGATATCTGGCTTTCACCCAGGAGACCCGGGTTCGATTCCCGGCAACGGAATTATTTTTAAATATATTTTCCCTTGTGATTTTCCTTTTTGGGTTCTGACTCGACGGATGACTACCTCGCGTTAGAACTACGAGGAATCCACTGGCTGCGCATGCCACCACCAGCCCACAGAATTCACCCCGTCAAACAAAACAAAAGGACAAAAGTCAAATCTGAAAAGCCGTTAAAACGCCAAACCACCAGCACATCCGATCATCCGCATCACTCGACCTGGACGTGCCCTCCTCTGATCTTTCCCTCTTTCTTCAACACGTGGCCTTACCTCGCAACTCACGTGAGTGTCTCTCCTTTCGCACTTTCCCCATCAAGGACTTCCAGTAGTTCTCTCTATCCATCAAGATTCTCAATCTCCTCGTCAACCTATCTAAAGGTATATCTCTTCAATACCTCTCTCAACACAGAAGTTGCCTTCTTCATCTCTTCTCAATATAACTTGATTTATAACCTATGACTCAGTTATTTCCTTGCTTCTTGTAATTCTTGATCTTATTAATAATCACAGTAAGGATTAAATCCATTCCAAAGAGGGAATTTCTTTCTAAAATATTGTTCACTTACGCAGTTGTTTCCTGGTTATATTGTTTGTTGCCGAACAAATTTTAACCGTTAGCTAATTTGTTTCAGTCAAATATGGCTTCGTCGACTCTAATCTGCGATACAGAGGCCTGGAAGGACCTGAAGGTAACTCGCTAACTACTTTTTTGTATTGATTTTGTAGCAACTCGCCAATTTGGTCTAATGCCGCATTTTTGTGCAGGGCCATCTGGAAGAAATCAAACACACCCATTTACGCGATCTCATGGCTGATACGAGCCGATGCCAGTCAATGATGGTGTATGAAATTTTATCCTCCCCGTTTAATTGTGTAAACCATAGATTTTGGCAGATATTATATAATTAGTTGGGATGGCTGTTAGTTCTAAAGGAAATGTTAAAAATAATTCTGTGGTTGGATTTTCTATAGGGAGTTTGATGGGATGCTGTTAGATTACTCACGGCAGCGTGCCACTCTTGCAACCATGGATAAGCTCTATGTATTAGCAGAGGTGAATATTGATCTTTTCTATTTTGGGAACTGAGAGAGTAGAAAGTTGCTTTGTTTTTATAGTGACTTTGCCCTTATGGATGCCATAATTCCCTGACAAACCTTGCTTGTGTTGTGTCCAAATGCAGGCGGCACATCTCAAACAAAAAATTGGCAGCATGTATGCCGGGGAGCATGTAAGTCTTTATTAATCGAGTTTTGAGAAGGCATATCAAATACTGAAATTGACTTCAACAGAACACATTTTTTTGGGAAATGCTTCATATATGTTAAGGACACCAGTTATTTTGTGTAAATTGGAGACAATGATGATGACCTCTTAAACTTCTATTTCGGCCCTGCGGTGCTCCCAGAAATCAAGTCTCCTTTATTATAAAATGTTTTCTCTGATTTGTCCTCATTTTGTAATAATAACAGAATATGAATAGCATAGTTTTGATGTTGCTTACTGATGCATGATTATTTTGCATAATGCATGTCTGGCACCTTCAGATAAACAGCACAGAAAATAGGTCAGTGCTTCATGTTGCTCTCCGTGCTCCAAGGGATGCCGTCATAAACAGTGACGGGAAGAACGTTGTTCCAGATGTTTGGAATGTTCTGGACAAGATCCGGGAATTTTCTGAGAAAGTTCGCAGTGGTTCCTGGGTAATATATAGTTCCTTAATGAAATCTGTATTTGTTTGTCTTATGCCAGAGTTCTTGAATTATCAGCAAATGTTGGTAGGTTGGAGCCACTGGAAAAGTTTTGAAGGATGTAATTGCAATTGGTATTGGTGGCAGTTTCTTAGGTCCCCTATTTGTACATACCGCTCTTCAAACAGGTTATTATGCTAAATTACTTAATCTACTGTTCTCTAGAGTGATTTTATTTCAACTTCATTACACAACTAATATTGCATTGTTGGCAATTCACAGATCCTGAGGCTAGTGAATGTGCTAAAGGGCGCCAGCTACGCTTGTAAGTGCTTATCCACCACTGCATCCTTCATAGTTAATTTTTAATATCAGTATTGTAATAGCAGGATGCTAACTATACATGCATAAATAATTGTTGATAATTCATTGCCATGGTTTTCAACCTTGTTCCAAACATTCAAAAGAAGACTAATTAACATTCTACCATCTCTTTGACATAGATACATGTGCTTGGTACAATGAAACCGGTTTTATCAAAGAATCTCACTACATGATGCATGGAAGAGAAGAGAGGATATAGGAAATTTTTCTTTGTTTCTTCTCAAAATGCTTCTTCTTTTGTTTATATTAGAAGAGCGTGGAAATATATATTGTTCATCTGGTCAGCCACCACATGGCACCTGGTTTGAGGGTTCGCCTAGAGTGTTGTCTTAGTTTTAGTTACAACCCTCAATATATTGATTCTATCAAATGATGTTGCAACTTATCATTCTCAAATTTCATCTGATCTCTTTCGGGAGTAAATATCCTGATCTCCAATTTGCATCTCCTGCAGTCTTGCAAATGTTGATCCAATTGATGTGGCTAGAAATATCACTGGACTCAATCCCGAAACTACCCTAGGTAACGCATTTCTTTTCACTGAGTATCACTGATTTTTGACATGAAAACTTCTTATTTATTATCATTTTGATATTTATGATTTTGTTTGATTCTAATTGTAGTTGTGGTGGTTTCAAAAACTTTTACAACGGCTGAGACCATGCTGAATGCCCGGACAGTGAGAGCATGGATCACTTCTGCTCTCGGGTTAGTACTATTACTTCTAATCATTCCACGATATGAGTCCAATGGTAGTTTCAGTGCTGGAATTATTGATATTGCATCGTTTAATATTTGTGATCGGAACTGAAAATCCTTGTGGATAGGAGAATGAAAGTAGTGAGAATATGCATTTGTTTGTGGTCATGAATTCACGAGAAGATTTTTTTTTAGGCCTTCTGCAGTTGCAAAGCACATGGTGGCAGTCAGTACTAATCTTGCGGTATTGTTTATTTCTCTTATAATTTTCATTAATAAGCAGTTAATTGTAAATTTTTTTGTTTACTTCAATATTTTTCTAGCTATCTAGATAATGAATAAGTAGAGAAGAGTTTGTGTTGGTCACTCTTCACTTTATGCCTTTATTTGCTGTAGTAAAGGGAAGAACCTCTTTACTAACGAATAGGAGCTCAGATCCTTAAAGATTTTAGCCTGACACACAATGTCAAATAAATATAGAACAATTACCACGCCTTATGAAAGGGCCCTGGGCAGCTATGTTAGAGGAGCAAAAGTATTATTGTTGCATTCATATTCTAGCATTTTCTTCTCCTAAGTTCGATATCGATTGGGAAAACTCAGTTAGTTGGTACATTATCTATTTCTCTTAATATTTGGTATTATCATCTTGCATTGTGTAAAAACTATTTCCTTTGACAATTAGTTCAGGTGTAATTAATGAGCGCATCTGAGATTGTCTAAAATGGACACATTTTTTCTTCTGTAGCATATTCTTAGGATTTCTGTTCTCTCATTCTTTAGCTTTGTGTTCTATTTGTTTCTTGCTATTGACTGGCCTAGGGATGACTTTTGGCTCACCATAATTCAACTCCTCGTTTAACGGCAATAAAGTGTTTCTTTTTTCTTTCTATTCTCCTTAATTTGGAGACTTTTATATCTTTGAGTGAATTTAGTTTTTGAAATTTCTTCTCTACGAAAAAAGTTCAAGTTTTGAAGCTATTGAGTAGAATATCGTGACTTTGTTATATATTTTGTGGCAAAGGTATGTGTGGATATTTTTATATCCATATTACTAACTTATGTAGGAAACAAATTTATATAAGAAAATAGTAGTACTCTATGAGAAAATACCATAGAGGAAAACATCCTCTTATAGTTAACACTCCCCCTCAACACGCACAAAATTTTTTATATACTTCAACATGCCTCCTATGCACAAGTCCATCAAGTTTAATATGTGGATAAACGACAAACCCACCATATCTTACACTGAATTACTATTTCAGACATAAACAAGCAGCTAAACTTGATTGACATTGATATTTTGATACTTTGTAGAATAATTTATTTGAACATCTAAAGTTGCTAAAAATTTAAGCTGATAAAATATGATCTATGTATATATCGGTCAACAAAGATTAGTTAATAAATGCAAATACATGCAATATTATACTCCAAGATATAGCTTTTCTCATTTGCAAATTCTTATATGTAAACAGCTTGTAGAAAAGTTCGGCATTGATCCTAATAATGCATTTGCATTTTGGGACTGGGTTGGTGGACGGTATAGTGGTAAGTACTTTTTCCAGTCTTTTGGGAAGAGTTACTGGTAAATTCTTGTTTAGTTCATAATTAAATTGCTATTGCAGTTTGCAGTGCTGTTGGGGTGTTGCCATTGTCTCTCCAATATGGATTCTCAGTAGTTGAGAAGTATGGTCACTTCATACTAGTATTTTACTTATGAGCACATCATTTTTAAAACATAAAAAACTTATATGCACAGTGGAGCTGTGTTTAATGGGACAATGCAGATTTAATATATTTGAAAAAATTTTATGCTTTCAGCTGGAAAAGCAAAAACATACTGCATTTAGAATTAATTTTAAAGAGGATTAGGAATATAAGAGTAGAGAAAATTTTGCCTTTCTCTATGGACTTTAACATGAATTCTAAACCTGTTATGCTATCTCTGTGAAACATTTATCCTCATTGTATGTTTAGGCTAAGATAATAAATGGTTAGTTGTTTACTTTTTCAAATTAGGATACTTATCAGTTAGTCATGACCTCCTCTGTATACATTTTACATTGTTATCCATAATGGCTAAAAGAAACATTCAGAATTTTCCATCAGTATATGTCAATTTATTTGCTGTATGCTATATGACACTTTTGATCAGAGTTATAGCTTGATCTACCTTCAATTTAGATAAATGGTCTGACCTTTCTTTTCCTTGTTATAGCTTGATCTAGCTTGATTGTATGTAATTTGTTCTATGTTGTATCTTGAAGATTCTTAAAGGGAGCTTCAAGCATCGATCAGCATTTCATTTCAGCACCTTTTGACAAAAATATACCTGTAAGTGTCACTTTTTCTGCAAAAAGAAAACAGAATCATTGTAACAACATGAGCAATGATGCTTTGTCACTGACAGGTTCGTGTCCGATAATCCATTGGTGGTGCTCCTCTGCTTGTGTTTACATAAGTCTCTCTATTTGGATATATTCCTAATTGATGGCTTTGAAGTTTCACCTGTAAATTTAATAAATATTTGTTCAAATAGACCATCCTCAATATCTTTCTTGATTTGTGAATATGCTTTATGAGATCCCTGACGACAAATTTGATTATTTGCATTGGTGCTTCAGGTTCTTTTGGGTTTGTTGAGTGTGTGGAATGTCTCATTTTTCGGATATCCAGCACGAGTGAGTAATTATCCAGACTATAATCAAACTACTACATATTATGCATCATATGCTTTTTGTTTGTTGGTCATTTCATGATACTTTCAATGTTTATCCAGGCAATCTTACCCTATTCCCAAGCTCTGGAGAAATTTGCCCCACACATTCAACAGGCAGGCTTACAGGACTTATCCTTTTCTTTTCCAATTTTATTTTTGAGTTTAGTTGTACCTTAAACTTTTGCCTTGTTTCCCTTTAGGTTAGCATGGAGAGTAATGGTAAGGGGGTTTCAATTGATGGCGTTCCACTCCCCTATGAGTCTGGAGAAATTGACTTTGGTGAACCTGGAACAAATGGTCAACACAGCTTTTATCAATTAATTCACCAGGTAACTTGTGTGCTCGCCATGCATTTAGTTTTGAGCAAAATTAGGTCAATCTTGATCCGTAAGTTATTATTTCTGTTTAGGATAAGATTGTAGTACTTTAAATTGATTGACAAGCTGCAGTTCAAAACTTCTTTGAAGTTCTAGATAGTTACTTCTCCAAGCACTAGCATTAGGTAGTTAAATTCCAGCATAACCGATCCTCAATCATTTCATGACCTTACTTTGGTGGTTCTCTCTCTCTTTCTCTCTCTTTTATGAAGAAAATGTTGAATACATTGCTTGAACTTGAGCCTCCTATATAGAAAGGCGAGCACACTAACATTTGGACTGGGTGCCCTCATCTACTCTACATTGTTAAGTTAAAAACCATTATTTCTAATAGAGGGTCACTGAGTTTTGTTTTTCTTTTGGTTGTGCATAAACATGTTTGTGTGTACATGTATAATAGTTAATTCAACACATGGTCAGGAAAACAGAAGGGTTGGTAATAGTTGACAGATTCTTTTTTGAAGAGAATAGTTGACATATACTCTTGAAATTGTAACAGAGAAATTCAAAGTTGTACAATGGATTCAAAGAAATAGTTGACATGTACTCTTGAAGTTGTAAAGAGAAATTCAAATATGCAATGGAAACATCAGTTTCCTCTTATCTCTTAAAGGACTGTCGACTTTGCTTTATGGAACTTCAGTTGCTTCACCAAAAAAAAAAGGGAAATGGAAACTGGCAACCTTTACATAATAAATATTTGTCCTATCAAATTTGCGGTTCATAACTTTACCAAAGTAAATGTCATTCATCTTTTATCGTGCTTGGGACAAGCTTTTATTCATTTTATATTGTGCTGTAAAGTGCATGTATTTCAACTCACCTTTTTAATCTCCAGGGACGTGTCATTCCTTGTGACTTCATTGGCGTTGTGAAGAGTCAGCAACCTGTTTACCTAGAAGGTGAATATCTTCATTCTTTTGAGTAAAAATTCTTATTTTAATGGTTGAAGGTTGATCTTTAATGCTTCAGATTTCGGTGCTCTTCATTAATTAATGTTGGCTTTATCATTTCATTTTGCAGGTGAAGTGGTAAATAACCATGATGAGCTAATGTCCAACTTTTTCGCACAGCCAGATGCTCTTGCATATGGAAAGGTAAGCCTTGAGACAAATTTCTTGTTTTCTACGAATGATCTTTTTGGAGTGGAATTTTTTTTTTGTAAGAATGATTTTTATTTGGTACTTTGTGATATTAAATTACTCCTTTTAATAGAAGAAGAAGAAATGCTTTTGGTGTTATATTGAAAAGATAATTATTATTTGTAGACCTGGTTTATGAAGCTATTGCTTTTAGGTTTTGGCATCTAACTAGATATTGTATTTGTGCAGACATCGCTGGAACTGCAAAAGGAAAATGTTCCACAACATCTTATTCCTCACAAGGTAACTTGCTTTGATCCTCTCGACCAGATGTTTGGTTTAGGGCCAGGTTACTAATGTTAACTGTTACATCATCCACAGACATTCTCTGGGAACCGACCTTCTCTTAGCCTCCTGCTTCCATCATTGAATGTTTACAATATTGGACAGGTTTGCAGTTCCTTTCTACAAAAGTTTGTTCATCTGAGTCTTTAAGCATATGTTAAGCAGAAAGAAGAAAAGGAAAATAACTGTTTGAGGAGTTTGCAATCTGTATTTATCTGATAGCTATATGTTTCCATTAGATTTTTCGTTGTTGAGTTTCATTTAGGAGATATCATGTGCTTCATGCTTGGTCCTTATGAGTAGCAACTGTTAACATCAGTGTTTTTTACTGATTTCAAAATTATTTATTCTGAAACAATAGTCACATGTTTGTGAGGTTACCAGTTGGATGCAGTGACTAAAATAGATCAAGGATTTGGTTTGTTTACTCAATTGGCTGTTGAACAAGTCATATGCTAATTTTGTCCTGATTACAAATCTTCTAACTCCCAAGTGCCGACAAGTTTAGGCATGAACCATGTTAAAGGATTTTTTTTTCTTGCAGTATTGTTTTATATGCAATGCCTGTGAGGCCTAACATTAACCTTTCCTGTGTTTTTCAGTTGTTGGCAATCTACGAGCACAGAATTGCAGTAGAAGGTTTTATATGGGGCATCAATTCATTTGACCAGTGGGGAGTTGAGCTAGGAAAGGTATTTTCACTTAACAACCCCCTCGATGGCTATTTCTAGCCATGCAATCTTCCCATTCAAGGATAATAACTTTGCTGTTCAAACTATGCTTTGCCTTGTAATCACTGTGTCAATTTCTAGAATATCTATTTAATCTTTGTGAATGCAGGTGCTGGCTACTCAAGTCAGAAAGCAACTTCATACATCTCGTAAGAAAGGAGATTCAGTTGAGGGCTTCAACTTCAGCACGGCAACATTGTTGAAGAGATACTTGGAGGTACGGTAGTGTCTCTTATTCTTGATCTAAACAGGAACATTATTGAAGAATTAATCGAAACTTTTAAAATTCCACTGAAGTGGTGCTTAAAACTTTTTCTCTTAAAACTCAATATCCCTTGAATACACAAATTGAAATTCATACCTATAACCGACATTAAAAATACTGCACAAAAAAGACTAGATTTCTTATTAATGTTCCGATTACCAGGTTTTCACAATAATCAATTTTACTTGAACTACTTTATCCAGATTTTAAATTTTAAATTGGTAGGTTTGGTTATCGATTTCTACTTGGCAACCATAATTGGCAAGAACCAAGATAGTATAATCCGAACATCAGGATTTGTTGATGGCAATATGTGTCTGAGCATTGTTTTTCCTAAATGAGATGTTTAGTTTTATGGTGTTGCTCTGTGACTGGAAAGTCATTTTATCTTTCAGGCAAGTTCAGATGTCCCAGCTGATCCTCCCACAGTTCTACCCCAGATATGAGTGACTTGAATTGTGCAATTTTGGCTTCCTTGAGCAATAAAGTAGTGGTTCCATCTCATGTAACAGCTTTGTTGAAATTATGGTGGACTCTAATATTTAATAAAGACTCCTATATGGGCGGCTACTGTAACAAATTTTTCAACAAATAACTTTGAATTAACAATTATTTATGAGCTTAAGTAACATTTGAAATAACCTAGAGAAATACTACATTCTTATTTCGAACAGATATAAGTTAAAACTATAACAAATTCTAAAATTTTCACCCTAAATTTTTTTAAGTTACTTTATATATTTATGGTCCAAAAATCCATCAACTACCATATTATAAAACACAAATCATCACTAATAACTAGCAGAGTGGGAGTACTGCACAAAAAAGGAGGCTACTACTAAATTTTCTAGTACTGATTAACAAAATAATTAAGACACTTGCGAATTACGCACCCTAAGGATAGATTGATGAGTTTTAATTATAGCATTTCAGTCAAAGTCACTGTAATATCTTCTAATTTTAAATCAAACACAATTAAATTCTTCCTCTACAAAATATTAATAAAAGTCCGCTAAATTCTTATAATTCCTAATTGAACTTGTGTAAGTGAAAATGCTGAGGAAAGAATCACACTTCGCATTGGATATTGAGAAATCTAAAATATTGACGAAATTCCCAAAATGCAAGCGAGGAGTTTCAACTTAAAGCACCTAAACCCTAGTACTTGATTTCAGCCATTAAAATTCCAGGTCTAATAAACGAAACAGCCGCTTCTTGCCTACCATATAGTCAGAGGAATTACACAGGCACGTAATAAGGCCCCCATTAGTAACAATAATCAGTGGATCAACCATGACTTCAAACGCCGGTGGATCCAAACCCTCCCTCGCCCCTACTGGTCGAATCTAGATCCTCAACCTGCACCACATCGGGCGTCACAATCTTCTCGATGATCAACTGAGCGATCCTATCACCTATTTTCACCTCGAAATCGACATCAGAATGATTGAACAGTATCACCCCGACTGCGCCTCTGTAATCTGCGTCAATCACGCCGGCACCAACGTCAATCGAATGCTTCCATGCCAGACCTGATCTCGGGGCTGCAAGTTATGTGAATTACCTCTTGTAAGTTGAGGAATAAACCAAACTCATTTCGGGGACAAATGAGGGAAGAGAGAGAGAAAGTCACCTATACGGGCATAGGTTCCTTCAGGGATGCCAATACTCAGATCTGTTGGAACGAGAGCCTTCCCTCTAGCGGGCACCTTAGTCTCAGTCGCACTACATCAAAGCAAAGGAAACCCTAAAACCTGAGCGCTAAATTTCAGGACGATCTACGGACAGAAAATTGCATTATAATTGATTTACCTGGAAAGATCGTAACCAGCTGAGAGAAGAGAAGCCCTAGAAGGCAAAACAGCTTTATCTGAGAGCTTCTTCACTCGAAGTGGAGACGGAGGGCATTGAGGAACATCGTGGACGCCATTGTGGTCGAGCTTGGGGATTTTAGGTGATGGTTCTTTGACTTCAATGCCATTGTTCTGTACCTCTGATTGCGTCATCTTTAGGAGCCTGTGAGATCGAGTTAGAAAAATATTGCTAGCGTTCCAAGAAATGGAGATAAAAATTTGAGAGCAAAAATTGCAGAGACTCTTGTTTTAATATAGAAAAATGCCCGCGAAGAAGAATGGTGTTTTCGATTTGGTGGCGCCAGTTATTCCCGCCATCTTTCTTGCGGGACAATCACGCCTTTCGCGAAAAAGCACAACTGCTTCAGTTCCGTATTATAGGAAGGGGTGCCGGACCGGGTCTGGCGGTTTTTTTGCCTAAAGACCAGAATCTAACAAAAACCGGCTCAGATCGGTTCGGTTCTCTGATTCCAGGAGACTGGAGCAGTGGCGGCAGCGCGAGCAAAAGGCTGGTTGCTTGTCCCGTCGCCGTCAGTCTTCAGAGGGTGTGAAGGCGGAGAGAGAGACTAATTTAACCCACAGGTTTGTTTTTTATGAATTTTAATTTAAATCGGGCTCAAAGTCAATCTAATTTGTTTTTTTAGATAAATTATTAAACACTTGTTTTAATTTAATCTATAATTTTTTTTATTACAATTTAATTCTCATTATTTTTTACTTATTTCAAACTGTTAATTCCTTATATTTTCATAATGACAAAAATTTAAAACATTTTTAAAACAGTTAAAAAATAATTTAAATTAATTAATATAATTAATATATTAATCAATTAATAAAGATCTATTTTTATTATTATTAATTTATTAATTAATTAAAATAATTTTTAAATATCAAACATAATTTCACTATTTTAATTTTTTTCTGTTAAAAAATAAAAAATTTAAACACAAGAATAAATTAAAAGTAAAAAAAAAAAAAAATTGTATCTGGAATACTAATTTACTAATTTATTCTTGTTTTTTCCCTTCTATACTTTTGTAAGGAATTAGCAACATTCAAACTGTACAAATGATAAATGATTTACAAAAAAGCCTGAAATTGGAAGCAGCCTGTCTGAAACCGTGGGTGACCACGTTTGACCTTAAGAGGCTAATTGAGTCTGCCTACTCCGAGTTCTCGTTGCTCCCTAAATTGAACATAATGTGTGGAAAACAATTACATTAAAGAAACAGCAGTAATACCTTTAAAAAAAATATTGAAAATGATTGTTCACGCGGGTGTATTTACATGCATGATACGCCGTCACCAGGATTGTTCATAGGCATACAGACACAGGTATTAGGTTGTCCACTTATTTCACCAAGATTCCATTTATATGCACTAGCATACATATGCATGCATGAATTTACATATAACCATTACTCCATCAAGTTCGTAAGGAGGGAAGTGAGCCTAATCCTAAAGAACCGTTTTACTTTTGTCCCAATTCCTCATTCCTTTAATCAAGTAAAGATCTTAGAAGCCAGAATGTCACCGAGTCCAAACTTGAATGTTTTTACTCAACCCCAAAAAACTAGACTGGTATTACTGAAAGATCCTATTCCATGCAATCCAACCACATAGAGTGGGAACAAGAAATCGAATTCCTTCACAACCCAACCGTTAGGCTTAACATTTGTACACGCCAGTGGCAAGCAAAACTAAAATGTAACTCAAAGCGACCTTTCACTCAGGCTCTACTTGGCTTTTCAGGACTTGGATTAGTATTTGAGAAGCAAAAATATACTATTATGTTACTCTGGGGATACCAAAGACATGCAAAGAAGGTAATGTAGTATCCAAGAGGAAAACCATACTGGAATTATGAATTTTTCTTTCGTTGTAAAATTGAGTACAGATATAATGGTGTTCATTGACAGGTTTATTTTGCAAACTGCTGCCAGAATTTCACGAACCATAATTTTTCAAATCATTCTTTCCGGTGAAATTTTTATTTTATCTAAGCAAGAAGAAAACTAACAAGAAGAAAAGAAAGATAACTTACATCTTCATGTATGTTAATAAGTTCTGACACTGACGTATCGCCAAAAACATTCAGTCCTTTCTTTGCCTTCCCTGCACCAAGAAATCAAAACAATAAACTTCAAAACCATCCCAAACAGAGTGAAAGATTTAGACCATGGCATAAACTGAGGGAACGATTTTAGACCACGACCCTAAAGTATCATTTCTATCTATACTGGTGCAAACCCTAACTCTGTACTTCTTGGGAAAGGAGAGTGACCATGAAAAGCCTAGGCTTGACATAACCTATCCAGGGCAACTGGATAGAAACCAAGTGAAAATCTGGATATAGACCTCAGGAATATATATTGTGAAAGACATCACGATTCATTGTTAATAACGGTAACTTCATTGTCTTTCAAAATTTAATCTACAAGCTTTTTCCTGGAAGACAAACAAAATAACATAAGACACCAAGGGAGGGTCGCCTGTATATCCTAGTTCCTCAGACAAGTAAGACCACGACCCTTGAAATGATCAATGGGACTAATTCAGACTTGCCAAGATTGATTTTCAGCTGAGAAACTACTTCAAGACACACCAAAATACTTTTGCATTCAGCAACACTTCCCTATATCCAGCTTGTAAAGCAGAATATGGTCATCCGCAGAGAATAAAATTCTGTTACCACCTTGAAGCCTCCTAAGCCATTTTCCATGCCTCTCAAACGGAACTCACAAAATGACAAGAAAAACCCCTGAATTTCATGGTTTTCTTTCTGATAAAAAAATAATCTTTATTAAGAGAGGAATGAAAAAATACAAAGCAGATAACATATTCAGTTGAAAATGATTCAAAATAAAAGAAATAACATAAGTAGAGCACAAAGAACAAAATGGAATCACTGGTGATCACATGATTATGACTTCCTAACTCCTGTGGAGGTCAGTGTCAAACACCTTACTCATAGCCTGACTTCTCCTTGGAAAAGAAACAGAGGAAAAGGAGAGTTAGTCAAGAGGGATAAGACAGAAATAAGAGATTTTTTTCCTTAATGATTTCATTCAAACCAGAACCTCTTTTTATAGGCCAAGGTTGGCAAGAAGAAGTGTGCCCATTTGTTTGGTCCGCATGGAGGTTACAGCCTGCAAGCGGCTATGGTTACACAGTCAGATAGTTACAACTTCCTGATCACCCAGTCTTAGCCTATTTTACCTTTCTTCCTATAGTAGACTTTGAATGGTTTTCTTACAGTCAGTAAGAGAGAAATCAAAAAAATCTCCATGAATATTGGCTCATAAGGAGACCAAAATTGTCATCTTCTCCCATAACATATCAACCGGAAAATACAATGATTTCTTTATAATCAAATTGTCCAAGGTAAGTGAGATGTGTCGGAAAACCTTGTCTATAGCCTCCACACCATCTCACATCGAATGAGTAGGTCATTATGGGTTTCCACTCCTTTACAGCATATCACACAAATGTTTGGATATAGAGCATGATTGGCCTTTGGTTTTGCAACAAATAGTTGCTGTTTAACCAATTTAGAACTGCAGTCTATGCGAACACCATCACCTTAGAATGAACCTTGACTTGCCAGAATGCCCTGGACATGAGACTATGGTGACAGTAAGGGTGTTTGGTGATGGGGTCGAATAAGGATTTACAAGTGTTTATATCTGCTGGCTCCAAAGTCCTAGACCCTGCAATCTGATTGTTAGGATGGAAAGATTCAACAAGGCTCAAAAAGGTAAAAATTCCTCAATTTCTCTGCCATTCAAGTTAGGGAAAAGTGAAAATTTAAGCTTAAATTACCATTGAAAGAGACAAAAGCTGATTGATTGGAGCTTTGTGAAGTGAGGAAATTCGAATAGGTGAGGACATAGAGTTCACGAGGGGCCTTCATCCGTCCAATGATTCTCTTAGAAAAGGATCTCAAAGCCATCTTTCATATTGTAACGGGTTAGAGATGTGTAAATGCGAAGCAAGCTGGATATCGGCTTCCATGGTGCTACGTGGATCTTCCAGCAATTGCATCCCACCCATTCCATAGAGTGTCATGGATGCTATTGGTCACTATATGCTCAAGAAATTTGGTTCCTACAGAAAACGCGATAATCACTAAACCTATAATGACAAATTATTAAATTTTGGACTTACAACATGCCTTGCATTTCACCAAATGATATTTCCATTACTCTCTAACCCCTGTTCAAAATGTTCTCATCATCCCCTTTAGTCTCTCAATCACCGTCATAGGTACATTCAACAAAGACCTGTAATATAAAGGGATACTAAAACTACAGGACTGAATTAATGTTACTTTATCCCCATCAAAAAAGACCACCTATCCAACTCTCTAACCACCAGATACTTCACAAAAAAAAAAAAAAAAAAAAACCACCCGTCCCAAGAAGACTTGCATCTAGATTTGCCACCTAAGGAGATGCAAGTTTCCTGCACCCTATTGCCTCAGGTAGGCTGCTCACTGTACTATCTGCCATATTTATTCCTGCCAAACCACTCTTATTCATGTTGAGGTAGAAACCAGAAATATAGTTAGATACATTCATTAACATGAGCGCATTGATAATAGATATGTGACAAGAACAAAACTGTGTCATCAGTGACTTAGAGGTAATACACCTAAACTCTATTATTACCAACCACACATCTTTCTATAACCCTTTTTTTAATCCCCAAATCATCATTCTACTCAATCCATCAACAGCCAATGTAAAAAGAAAAGGAGAGAGAGGATCACCTTCTCTGGTACACCAGGTAACCTGAAACCAATCATGGGCCTTACCACTTACTATTTCTTTTTGAAATATAACCTTACCATTTACTATAACCTCGAAAGAGACAGAAAACAAACAACCTTATATTTATCCTCCACCTATATCCAAAATTTTCTCCATCCATCACTACATCCAAGAAATCTCTATTCACCCTAGCATAAGCTTTCATAAGTCTAGCTTCAGAACTAGCCCTTTCCTTTTTGCTCTGGCCATGTATTCAACAATTTCGTTAGTTATAACGGATGCATCCAAAATTTGTCTTCCTCTCATAAAGGCACTTTGATTTGATGCTAAAGTATCATGTAGGACCTCACTAAAGCGTAGGGACAACACCTCAATAATTATCTTATAGACACTAGTTACCAAACAAATAGGACGGTACCATTTTTTATTCATCTTTCTTGGCATGAGAGTAGTAGATGTGGAGTTCATACTTCGATACATGTGTATGTGTTCAAAAGGAACTCCCCAAAAAACTTCATCAAATCATCCTTTATGATTCACCAATATGATTGGGAAAAAGCTCCACAGGTCCATTCTGACCAAGGGATTTCTCTATGCACATCACCCAAACAGCTTTCTGAACCTCCTCAAATGGTCTCTCTGAATACTTTGCTTTGACAATATTATGGGTTGCCAATGAATACTTTTTAGACGGTCTAGAAACCTCCTCTTCATTGTACAACTGCGATAAAAGTTAGTGATTCATGCCCAATTGCATCACTATCAAGCTCTACAGTCCCTCTCTCTAGTTCTAACTCCTTAAACTCAATTATTCTCCTCCTACCGTTACCTACCCTATGGTACAAGCTAGTACTGGCATCCCCCTCCTGAACCCATTTCATCCTAACCTTTTGCCTCAAGGTTCGCCCCTCTTCGCGCATGACCTCCTCAAGCTCATTTTTAAGCACTCTAAGTCGAGTGATTTGAGGTTCAACAAAGCTGTCCTCTCATGCTAGTTTGTCTAGTCCCTTCATCTCCTCCAGGATCTCCCTCTTCTTCATTCATGTCTTCGAATACCACCTTATTCTATATCCTCAATCTATCGTTTAGATACCTCAATCTTTTCATAAATTACTACCGTTGCCAACATATCATTGGCCCTTCCTGCCACCACTCCTTTACTTTGTTGTACAAACATATTTCCAAACCTAAAAGGAGCAGGGCTCCATTCAATCAAGATTCTAGAATGGAGGGAAAATATCTGATACAGCTTGAGGTAAAACCGCTTGTACCGAATCTAGATCCTCCCAACAAGTGCAAAACCAGGAAGCAACTAATGCATGAAGAGGATCTTCCTTGCCTTCTACTTACCAAGTAAATTAGGGATTAGAAAGGAGGAGATTATGCAACATGCAGTCGGATAAATTCATTAAATCCTTGTGTGGTCATTGTTTCTCTCCCACCATCTAACTTCTCTGGGGAAATCTGAATGCATTGAAGTCCCCATCCAAGCACCAACATAAATTGCACATACCCGACAAGAACGATAGCTCCGCCAAGAAGAGGGACATATAGCTTGGGTTCAGCAGCACATAAACACTGATCATCCACCAGGTTCCTTACCATTTATTTTCAACAACACTGACAAGGAGAAAGATCATTTAATCATATCCACTATACTAGCAGTCCTAATATCCCAAATTATGAGAAAATCCCTTGAGGCAACTAAAGACAGGATCGTCACGCAATCCTCAAAGTGCGACTCTGAAATACTGCAGATCACGATTGTACCTGATGACTCTTTTTCCATTTCTTGTATAAATACTATGTCAGAGCACGCCCTAGATAATACTTCCTTTACTTTCTTCCTCTTAAAACCAATCCCCAATCCATTAACATTTTAACTAACGATCCTTATATAGTTTACTGCTTCCCCCTGTCACTCCGCCCCGACTCCCTCGACCTCCTTGGGTAATTGTGGTTGCTACTCTCTTTATCCCCTCTTCTTTTGTCGCATATAAGTTTTGAGTGACATTCCAATCCTAACCACCTTTTCCGATTTATCCACTAATCTGAAGTCTAGACTGTCCAAAAAGGCATTAGGATTTCTCAAATCTGAGTTTGTCATTATTGGTTCGAATAACATGGTTTTTCATGCAGTACATGGTTTATTGTTACATTAGAGATGTTCCGGCCATCCCAAGTTTCGGGCAATAGGAATAAGGAAAATTATAAAATAGGAAATCTAAAAATTCTAATTCTTATAACATTTAAAATCTATATAAAAAAGAAAATTAAAATATTATAATTACTTCAATTGATAAGGAAAAGCATAAAAGATGATATCCAACATATTCTAATTTCTATGACATTTAAGATCTATTAAAAGAGCACTAAAATATTTTAATGCTTAAATAAACTTAAGATAACCTATATAACTTTAAAGTACAAATTAATAATAATTACAAAAGGTTCCTTTGACAGAAAATTTATTGCAAATTAAGATCTTGTTCTCAATCAATTCTCTGGATTATTTGGAAGGAAAGAGACTATAGGATCTTTGAAAATAGAGAAACTAATCTTACTTCTATCAAGGATAAGTGGCTGCATTTTTTTGGCTCCATTGTTCTTGGCCACAATCTTATTTCTTTTGACGATTTTGGTTCTATTGTAGATATTCTCACAGATCTGTAAATCCTTTTTTTTACATGAGATACGTCCCCTTGGAATCTCGTTAATATTATTGCTTACTTTTATCTCAAAAAAAAAAAAGATCTCGTTCTCCATCAATTAACCTCAAAGTATTTTTTTATATGTTATATATGTCAGCGACTCACTTGCAACACCTTAACTGTCCAACTATAGCGCCTGCTAGAGTTATCAATTCCAGGAGTCTTTTAGTGTTTCCCTGAGTATATGTCTTAGAAAAGAAAAGATGGTGCTGAGATACTAGCTAAACAAGCATTAATACGCAAGCAGGCTCGTGTTGACTTCAGTACCCAAAGACAGCCTATAGAATAAACAAGAGGAGAACCAATTTTGCAGATTGTTTACCAGCCAGAGGAAATGTTCTGCTGCATAACTTCTGCGTTTCATGCTTTGATAAGGTTTCGGGCTTTCGGCCACCAGCACTTGCTCTTGTAAGTTCAGTTTCTTCTAAGCTATCAAAAGAAGATTTTTTTATGAGATCACTGCTACAAATCCTCCAGAAATATTAGAACAAATGATACATAGAAGTGATATCCCCTTAACTACGTCTAAGATAGTTTCAATACAAAAATCCATCAATAGAATTCCTTTTAATGATACATTATATTCTGAAAATAAATTTAAACAGAGTTTACAGATCATATTTGGCAAAAGATTTTAAACACGTTTGGGCATCAACAAAAGAGTGAAAGCTAACATCTTCGCAATATTGAGTATATGACCAACAAATCCAGCTTTTTTTTTCTGTGAACAACAAAGCCAACTAATATGCAAATGTTCCTTCATATGACAAGCAAGAACTTTTTTATATAGAAAAATAGAAAATAGCTATGCAAATACATAACGCGAGCTCCCTCATCAAGACATTAGAATTGCACCCCAATTTCCTCAACCCTATATATTGCCAAGAAAGCTTTCTTTCAAACACATCTAATTTTTTTATATAAACAAAAAGGCAGCCACTCAATTTTAGTTCTCCCCAAACTTCTTATAATGTGTTTTCCATTTAGTTGTGGGCAAAGCATTCCTGAAACACATGCAAGCACATCTGTATGTATGAATCATTTATACACAAGACATACATTAATGTTGAAACAAAAGAATATTATCATCCACAATGTGTCAAATTACTAGCTAACTGACAATTCACCTGGCCTGCAAACTAAAGGAATTCGAGTCCTTTGCTGATATAGCCTCCTAATACCAATATAACGAAAACAACTCAGTTACAAAATTATGGTCTCAAAAGTAGGCAACATAACAACCATTAGTCAACTTGATTGGAATCAAAATATTAAACAATGCAAGTTTTAACAAAACAAGCACTGAGCAAAGTTCAAGAGGGAAATAATGGAAAGTTGTGAATTACAATTTACTGCCCATCTTTTGCCTAAAAAAAGTTTGTTTTAGCAAGAAAATTCATTATTCCGCTTATCTGCTAATCAGTTTTGAAAAAATCCCAAGGTGCCAGAGAAATATGCGATCATGAAATGAAACAAAGAAATTCTATTTGTAATTTTTTCTAAAATGCCAAATCTTGCAGACCAAATAGAACTCATCCTAGCCTGAATCACATTAACCAATCTATAATTGAGAGATTCTTTTGGTACATAAACGTAATGTGGCGTGGCACCTTTGTATTCCACTTACTCTTTCCAAGGAACCATCATTCAGGATCTCCCAGCTCTCACTATCCAAGCATACTAATTCTACATCTCCATTGTCATAAATTATCTACAATCAGAAGAGAATTGAAAGCATTAGGTCATTACTGCAGAACAGGAAAGATACGAAAAAACAACATATAATGGACTTATAGGAACTTGTATGTATTTTCAAAAAGAACTTGTATATGACATACACAAGTGAATAGTTTGATGGACAGCTATAACTTACTGTTAGCAATACCGTTAATTTATCTCACAAAAACAAAAAAGAAATACATATTTATAACTGGTAAGACATCCAAGAAAATCAGGGGACTGATAGAGATTCTATAGACAAAAATCTGATTTCCAATCTCGAACATGCATAATTAAGTTCCAAAATGAGTCCAAATGCATATTTTCACTGTAATGGAAAGAAGAGTACATAAATTAGAAACTAGTCAAGAAATGCTCATTTTAGTTATTATTTATTATTAGTGCCATTCTGAAACTAAACTTCCCCAGCAAAAAGAAAACAATGATTAGCGAAAAGCAAAATCAAATAGCCAAAAACTAAAGCAAATATAATACTACTTACCCCTCAATTATGTGTTTCAAAGAATCTTCAAAAAAAAAAGAAAGTATCTAAAAGAACTCTATAATATAATATAAATTCTGACGACGAAAACAATCAAGTACAACATATTATACATATTTACCTTATGAGTATTGTTTCTAGAGTTAAAACTGTCCACAGAGCCAAAATAGATGCTGGCAGAAAATCCATTAGAATTGTTAAGTGGAAATCCACATCGTGTTCTCAAAATTATCTACTTCAAACACAAATTCTTACCATCCATCAACTGGAGACAGTAATTTGATCCGCCTCCCAGTCATCACTTCACTCTTGTAGCAAAAATCCCTTAAAAAAATTTATGGTTGCATAAGATTGGGAAAGAAAAAACTAACAATCTCAAGGAAATCCTCTATATGAGTACGTATCCACCTTTGAACTGCAAGGTTCTTGGAACATGGCAGTGGAATTTTTGGAAGCTTCACCTGTAACGCTACCACTTGCCCTGATACCATTCAGACAAGTGGTAGTTTTTCTCAATTTCTGGGCTACAACTTCTGGATCAGTTGGAGAAACTTTTAGAGTGATGGAACTACCAGAAGAAAGTTGCTTCTCCAAATTTTTTTCAGAAAGTTTCGAAGGAATATCAACGTGCTTTTTGACAGTAGAACATTTTTTCGGCAATGCAACTAATCCAACATCAGTTGGAGACACACGTCTTCTGCTGCGTCTCGAACTGATTTCCTTCCTTGGACCATCTTTATGTGTTTCATTTGCCCCACTTATTGGCACATCATCTTGCTTGCATGTTGCAGTCAACTGAGTGTTGATAATAACTGGTCTTTTATTCTCTTGATGCTTTCGTTTAAGAAGAGTTGAAGGAGGCTGAAATGTAAAAGAGAAAATGCTGTTTGGATAGTCAAGGACAAACTAACAGAAGAATGGAACTATAGGGATGCAAAGCATATGGTTAACTATTAACAAGAACACTCTAGAAACATACCAAAGAGATCTGATACTTAAACATATCTATTATTCTCCCCAAAAAATTTTGTTCAAAGGGGAGTGGAGTATGACACTTCAGGTTAGCCTGCAGACAACAAAAAGATATAAGATATCATATGATGTTTTACATATAACCGACATTCTTCATCTTGTTGAGAACTTGCCTCTTCACTATTCTTAGTAAGACTTATCCTATAGAGTGACGATGGCAGCAAAATCAGCCCACGTGTGCGTGATGAGGAGATTCCAATTTGATTTAATGCACCAACAGCTGAGATCCCCATGTCAGCAAGAAGATGCAGCTTCTGCATTTTGAGCACATGTCAATTTTAACAACTATCTAAGCCTACAAACCAAATAAATACAACGCAACGCTTACAGGTGTTTTCTGAGCATCAATAGCATCATCAGCTCTTTTGATGGCACGAAAAATACAAAGCAAGGAAGCAACAGTGTCATTCACAAGATCTACATCGCCATTAACAATGCTAGTATTAACTAGCGCTTGCAACATTGAGAAGAGAGGACTGTAAAAGAGAGAGAAAGTAAGAACTATCCTGACCATAATAGATAATAAATCTCTGCAAGAAGAAATAAATCCCACTTACTGACAGAATTGAGCATATACTTGTTCATCCTTGCAATCCTCAGGCGGAAAGTCCTTACTATGAGCCAGAACATGGATCAAGAACACCACTATATATGCTGGGTAGTCTGTAATTGCCATTCCTTGCTCAGAAGAAGTTTGGTGGATTTGAGCTTCTCTACTATAATCCTTGATAAATTCTGCCATATATTTAAATGACTGAACTTAACAGTGTCAGTGGACATTATTGGAAAAAGAAACTAGAAAAGAGTAAATGAAATCAGAAACAATTACTTGAAAGGCAGACAGACATACATCATCTTGTAGATCCTTGAGGCAATCAGAGGTAGAAAATGCAAAAACACAGGCATATCTACTGGGTATAACACGCTCCTTCAACAGCTTACGAGTTTTATCAAGAAATGATCTCCGAACAAAAGAGCAGGTGTCCTAGAATATGATATGAACATTAAAAAATCAAAACTAAAATGAGCCAGTACCTAAACAAGAATAACACAACCATCAAGGCTACGATTTTGAAGCCCACCTATGAAGACGAAATATAATAGGTTCAAAATCCAAGTTTGTACAAGTGGAGGGGCAGCTTAGAGGTCAGACAGATTCCTCATTTGCATAATTTAGTCTTAGGAAAAATGCATGTTAAGTTACTTCAGCAGAGGCACCAGCTATATGCTGTCAAATTAAGGATTAGCACTCCTCACAACAATCAAACTTAAATTAAGAATGTGCGCTCCTCACAACAGTAAAGCTTAGGTTTCATTATGAATAACAGCTATATAACCTAAACACGCGAGGTGGGAGAACATTCCCTTCAAATTTCCCTTAAAATTATCTTTTCAGAATTCTCTTAGCAGCTTTTCTGTCAAGCACAATTGAAGTTGCTCACCTTTGCCATCAATATGGTTAAGCAGAAAACCTCAGAAGAAATATGCAAGTTCCATCTTCTGGAAAGCTTGAGAACGGATTTTGCTGCAGCTAATCTGATATGAGCCTTGTCCCTTTCACTTCATTACATCATAAGCAGAATACAAATAAGCATAACTAAAATCCATGAGCATTTTTAAATTATACATGCAGCCAATAAGACCCTCAGATTCAGGCCTGCTACCATCTAACCATGCAGCCATAATTGTTTTTTTTGTTACTTTCAATCCTTTTCTCGCTTTTAGTGATGAAAGCAACAACTAAACTCACATACATGCTATAACATAATGCTAATAATTGAATGAAAATGCCTATCAGGCCTTCAGAAAAGCAAACAGGCCTGATTTCTTTCTAATTAAGAACAGGGGAATTGTTACGTCTGTTGAAAGGATAATTTATTAATTTAGTGGATTAGCTCCCTAATGTTTACTCTGTTTTTTTAGGAGAATTAATATTAGTAAGAAAATAAAATACATTAACCAAGGATATTATAATTAAAAGCAAAGGTATCTAATCCCAACAATCCCCAAAAGAGTACCTTGATTTGGTAGCACTAAAAGCATCATTCTTTTCCAGCATTTTTGATAAGATGTCCAACAAATCATCAATTTTCCATGTAACCTGGGATCTTTGATATGGCAAAAAACTCTTGACAAGCATTTTGAGTCCATATATCTGCAAGGGAGGAAATTTTGTTTGAAAAGAAAAAATACATATGTATTCACAGTGCACCAAGAGGAGGCCAACCATACACAAAATTGTTTCGCAAGAAAGAAACTACAAAAAAAAAGATTTTGTCATGAAACTCAAATTCCCTTTGACCAATAAACAAAAGAAAAAAAATCAAACTTCCCTTATTCAACACTTACCTTTAATTTGCAAGAACAACTACAAGCTAAAGGCTCATCGTCAGTAATTAGATCATCTGATGATTCCACCTGGAACAGATAAAATTCACATTCACCATACAACAACTAGCTTGATCATCCAAAACAATCTAACTACATAGAGATATAAAAAAAGTTTACAATTCCAACCAAATTACTTTAAATATCTTTTCGTATATGTATGAGGTGATATCTCTATTTTGAGTTTCAAAAGCTGAAACAGAATGTTGGGAAATACAGCCTAGAGACTGCAAAACAGTTGGAAGGTTTTCCCCATTGTGCAGAGAATCCACCAATTCCTGAGAAGATATATAAAAAGCTTAGTCATTACTTGCCACAGATATGCACTAAAAAGGAAATTGGCAATTGAAGATGAATGAAAATTTAGAGCATGATGCAATGTAACATTTTTTATTTTTGATACAATGTAACATTTGCGATCTAGTTTGGACTTCCTTGTCAAAGAACAAGAATAGTAAGTAGTAACTAAAAATAATAGCCTAATATATGAATGAAAATTTAGAGCATGATACAATGTAACATTTTTTTTTTTTTATACAATGTAACATTTGCGATGTAGTTTGGATTTCCTTGTCAAAGAACAAGAATAGTAAGTAGTAACTAAAAATAATAGCCTAATATAGTTGCAACACTTGTCATCCAAGTCTTATGTAAGCTAATGTTAATACAAACTTCATAAACTAAAAGATAGTCCTCCCCCCATGATCATACATAGGGAGATTTTTTGATGTGCCTAATTGATTATCACTTGTATATTCGGCCTGCACATTCACTACCAAATCAAAAAATAGAGCAAGTAATTAATTGCTCCACATATAAGTACTTGCTAATGAGCAAAGATTCGCAAAGGATTCATCTGTCTAAATAACTCTTAAGGGAGTTTTTATCTTTGCTTGTTGGTGCTAATAAACAGCTTTAAGAACCGTGTTTAACTCTATCCATTTGGCAGTATAATAAGCATGATTCTTATTAAATGTCAAAGAGCTGCGTTAACCAGCAAAATAACACACACCCAAACCTGAACTTTTTTGCATCAACTTAAAATACTTAGTTGACTTCTTTATCCAAGCATATTTACTTTTGTAAAACATAAATTAAGTACTTATCTTTTATAATAACCATCTTTATGTACATAACTAGTTATCTTTCTAAATCAGCAATTAACTTAATAGGCACCTATTACTTTAAGTGGACTTCCTTTCAGCATCTTAACCACCTCTAAACTCAATATCAAATCCATTCTCACAAACAAAAGCAACTAGCCAACCAAATCTTTGCCCCGATTACTTCGCTTCAGACATACAACCAGTCCTCATACTCAATTTTGTCCTATCTAACATCTTGGAAAAGGTCAAGTTTGCTTACTACTATCAAGTACAAGAAAACTGGCATGATATTCATTTAAAAAAATGCAATACCATTCGCATCCTCACTGTCACCAAACTACACACACACACATAATACCTTACGGGTAGAAGAAAGGAGTACAAATACTCTAGATGCAACTTTACCATAAACAAAGAAGGAAAAACAAATGAAGGGGAAAAGTTTAATTAAACCCTAGTGGATAATCGAAAATATAGATTGAATTAAAAATTCAAATATGTGTGGAGAATCCAAATAAGTGAAGTCAAGATAGATAGACCTTGCATAATTCTGAAAAAACAAATTGCTGAGAAGAACCACTCAGCGAAGCAATAGCAGAAACAGCATATTTGGCTTGAGCACGACTTCCTACGAAGCACATTCTCTCCAGGAATGGGTAAAAGTCACTATATCAACCGAAACATGTAAACACTTATAAGCATTAGAGAAAGAATAAACCATTGGAACAGAAACAAGTGCAAATGAAAAAAGAGCTTTTTGACATTAGTAACAGATAATGACAATTTTTTTTTAAATAAAAAGTATGGTATGTCTCATTAATTTGCAAGTAACAAGGAGATGTCAACCCATGTAAAAAATTTATTTATATATCTATCAAAATATCAATAAGATCTCCAAGATCCTCCATATAGTAAAGAGGTTGATCCGTAACCAAAAAACCAAGATTTAGAACCATCTATCTCTAATGCTCTCAAACTCATCTTCCACTCCTTCAAAAGCTCTCTTTTTTCTTTCTTTCTATACTATCCAAAATATAATGAGAGGAATGAGAACCACATATTTCATCCCACCACTAGTACCTTTTCATGCCCAGATCTCATTTCTTACTATACCAACCATCGTGCAACAAATCATCAGTATTTTGTATGCCATGGTGCATAACTTGTACGAAAACAAACACCCAAAAAGCAAGATATGGTTGTAAGTGTCCACCTCCCTCTTACATAGGAAACAACCATTCATCATAATTTTCCCCTACTTATTAACTTGTCAATAGTGAGAATACACATATCCCTACCTCCCACGCATAGAAAGCAATTCTGAATGAAACATTCACCTTCCAGATTACCAAAAATGAAAATCGGTCTTAATTTTGCCATTTCTAACCAAGTAACTATAGTAAGACTTAACCGAAAAGGTTTTGGTGGAATTGATGGTCCAAATATATTGGTTATTACTCACGTCCATAAAGACAGAGAGTTTATTAAGTTAAATCTCATACTCATTAATTTGCCAATTATTAAAGTTTCTTATCACTTCAGCATGCCACTCCCTATCCCCTCTTCCCACCGTCTCTGAACAATTCATGAATTGAGATATCCTTGGGCCGTGTAATAGTAAAGATCTAGAGAAACTAAAACTCAGGTTCTCCCCTTTTAAGTCAAGGGTCCTTCCAAAAACTAATTTTATCCCCATTGCCTACCTTCCACCTGATGCATTCCTAAAATTTATCCTTTCCATGCATATTGTTTCCATGTCCTCTTCTCATGTGGTCTTGACAAATCTCTAGAATACCATTCTCCATCTCCGGTCGTGAACTTTGCCTTTATCACTCTCCACCATAGAATATCTTTCTCTATCATGAACCTCAAAAGTCATTTATTCTGTAAAGTCATATTCATTTCCAACTAGTGACCTCAAACCAAAACCACCTTGTGAAAATGGCTTTTTGACCTCATCTCAAGTCACCAAGTGATATTTTTTCCTCTCCTCAGAATCACCCTAGACGAACCTATAGTGGATTGAGTCCAATTTCTTTGCAACACTAACTGGGGTAGTCAAAAGGATATATAGTACATGGATAAGTTGTCTAGTATTCTTTTAATGAGTGTGATTCTCCCCTCTTTGGTCAAAAGATTTCTTTTCTATCCCGCCAACCTGCTCTAGAATCGTGCCACAACAAGATCCCACGTCTTCAAATCTTTACAATTGGCCCCCAGCGGCAACCCTGGGTACTCAATCGGCTGCTCATACTTTTACATCCCAATACACTTTGCCAGCCTAGCAGCATCACTCCTATCCTCTAATCTCACCAATTTTGACTTTGTATGGTTGACATTTACGTCTGAATTCACTTGGAATCCCAATAAAACACATCTAAAATTAAGTAAAGCCCCTTTTATTTTGCTCAGAAAATACAAAATTGTCGTCAGCAAAGAATAAATAGATTACTTCCTCCACATGCTCACCCGTTCCCACTTAAAGGCCTCCAAACAACTCCATCTCCCTAACTTATCAACATTTTATTCACCACTTGTGTAACAACAATAAAAATAAGGGAGATAAAAGGTCACATTTCTCGAGCTTCCGAAGGCCTTGAAAAAAGAAGATGGTCCCCCATTCACTAAGACCGCAAATAATGTAGTGATAATACAAGAGTTAATCCACTTGCAACATTTATCCTCGAAAACTCATTCTTCTAAGCGCATCAACAAGAAATCCCTAACTAATATAATCATAGACTTTCTGCATATCCAACTTACATAGCGCTCCTTCTCTATTCCAGGATAACAAATTATCCACAACCTCATTAGCTACCAGTGTCAAATTCATAATTTGTCCTCACATAAAAGCATGTTAACACTCGCCGACCACTTTATCCATTATTTTGGTCATCGTCTGACTAACACCTTTGCAATAAGCTTGTAAATGGACCCAACTGAACTGTTAGATCTAAAATTCTTTATATTATCTGTCCCCTCCACCTCAACAATAATTACTAAGAAAAAAGAGTTTAAGGGTTTAATAAAGGATCCAGATTCATACAATTCCTTAAAGAGCTCTACAATACCCTCTTTCATTGCGTGTCATAATTTTTGAATAAAAACATATGTTGAAACCATCAATACCAGAGGTTTTATCCTTTTTACATAACATGAGTACCTTAAAAATTTTCGCTTCAGCAAACTCTTTTTCAAGTGAGACATGACTTATCTCGTCCATGGATCTGACAATAATACCACCCAATTTGGGCCTCCACTCAAACTCCTTGCTATATAATTTACAGAAAAACTTTTTAATTTATTGCCTCGACTGTTCATCATCCTTCACAACCTGGCCATCAATCTCCACTTCCTCTACATAGTTGATTCTCCTATGATAATTTGCCATACCAAGAAAAGAATTTTATGTTCACTCCCCTCCTTAGTCCACCTAGCTCTCAATTCTCGTCTCCATGATATTTCCTCCATTCATAATCTATTTGTCAGTTCAAACTTTAAAGAATCCTCGCGAGCCAATTCTTCAATGGACAAAACATCTTTGCCCCTCCATCTTATCAATTGTCTCAATATCTTTCTCCTCCTTGCTATACTTTTTTATTTCAGTTTTCATTACCATCATCTTTTGAGCAACTCTGAACTAACTCTACTATTCACCCTTGTCCCTCTCCACTATTCAATAATTTTATCACAAAAGTCATTAATCTTCAACCATTTGTCTTTAATCAGAATGAGTGAAGGCCCTACTTGATCCCATTCGAGACAAGGCAAATCAGAAGGTGACTAGATTTATCTGTTTGTGACAAATAAGTAATTGGTAACGAAATATGACAATATAGAACAAAAAGAACATTACCAGCAAAATATATGTTCACCATTAGTCTAAATTTATTTTCAGCATTTACATAAACTATCCATGATATAGATACAGTTGAAATTATTGAGAACATAATGATATTCAATAAGAATTAAAGAGTCCTGAGATCATAACCATAAATCAAAGACAACTTAGTCCCAGAAACCATGTGGAAAGAAGTATTATATAACAGCACTAAACAGAAAGAAGCAAAAGAAATTACCCAAAGTCAACAGAAATATGTGGACCTGCTTTTGCAAAAACTTCAATCAGCTTATCAGGTAGAGAATCCCTTTTCTCCAACAACCTTCGGAACTGCTCTTCTGAACCTCTCAAGAATGAGGGGAAAATGTTGATAACACCCTGATTCCAGTGCACGAGAGTGGTTTTAAGCAGATCAACTTAAATATTTTTAAGAAATTTAACATATGTACAACTACTTTTATTGAGCACTATTGATTATTTGAATAGACCATCAAATGATATCTCCATTATCCATTTTTCTTTTCCTCCAATTCTTCATTGACAATTCTATCATGAGGAACTGGATATTATCAAATGTTAGAGAACAAGTAGGAAAAAGAAAAGCAAAAGGAAAGTTGAGAATTTTACAGTCCCAACAGGCTAAAGCCCTTAAGCTTTGAGGTTGTTGAATTTATTAAACTATTAAGTAGATATTCTTCTCACCAAAAGAAGTTTGATCGAAGAGGCATCAATATACTTGTTTCCTAAGCTGTTGGTGTAAAGCTGATCCAAAATGCATTTTACATGCTCTGAGCTGAATATATTACACATGCACTTTGAGGAAAGTGACCGTAGAAACTCAAGGTGTGGATGTTTATCACCTATCATTTTCAAAAATTTATCCTGAAAAAGAAAAAGAGCTATAAGATATGAGCAAGAAAGATGTCAGATGAAGAGGATTATTACCCGAATCTGATAATTTACTACAAGCAGTAATATATCAGATCTGGATGAAACACTTCAAGAGATAATTCAATTATGTCAGGTCCACATACAGCACTGTAGATGTAGTGATACTAAAGAAGCCACGTGCAAGTATTATAAAAATATTAAAAAAAATGATGTTACAATAAACTGATAAGCAACATACTCTGACAGTTTGGGCATTTGCAAAGGTTTTTTCATCTAGTATCCCTGCCAAGAAATTGAAAATGCGATTATCTCTAACTTGGTTCAATTTATGAAAGCACTCTTCAGTTTTTGAAGGATCTGGAAAGGAAGATGACATCTTTGTAAATGAAATTCCAATTCTCTTCTGCATCTCTTCCAAAGAATGCTCCTGCACAAGGAAGTTTTTACGCCATAAATCAAAGATTATCACATATGAGAAACAATAAGCAGAAAGTCATAAGCAACGTACCTGCAATACACTAATACAAACCAAATACAACTGATGCAGAGTAGGAAGATCCTAAGGTGGACATGTTTCAATAAGAAGATACATTTACGTAATTGTAATGTTTATGCATTATTGAGGTACTGAGTTTATTTAGCGACTAGTATTTATGGACTTATCAATGGTATAAGTTTATCAATTCCTGTATTTAGGTATTCTCTATTTAAGTTATTCCAATTAATTAGCTTATTTTTCTATTTTGTAGAATTAATATAAAGACTTTAGAATTCCTGTTTTGATTGTATATTGGTGTCTATAAATAAAGCACTCTAACTTAATTATTGATAGATTATTCATGATCATTAGTTGAATATTGAATTAATTTGATTACTGGGAACTAATATCTCCAATTTTGGTTCTTAATAAATTTTCTCTCAAACATTTTTTCTCAAGCTCTTTGTGTCCTACATCAACAACAAAATCCAAGGTGTAATTATGTATATATTTTTCTAATATATACCCAAAATAAGATGTCAAAAAATAAAGAAATTACTAAAAGTCAAATACCAGAAACAGCAACGATGCATGGAAAGAAAACGTCCTAGATAACCAAGAAATATAGATCATATCTGCAATGCTCATTCGAGGGTTAGATATGCTCAGACATTCTAATGCTTTCTCAATAGATGCATAAAGAGGCTCAAATTTCATAAGTGGCTCATCAATGGAAGGACCAGATAGACATAGCAGTAATGTAGAATGTCTACTATCCTCTTATAAATTGCAAGAAACACTTGGTGCATGTACCTTCTCCTTCCTCAAGGCCAAATAAAGTTGCATTTCGGTTTGAAATCTGAAAACATGTGTAACTGATAAGAAACCAGCAATCACCATCCTCATCTTTGTCAGAAATTATTATAATCCTCATCTTTGCGTAACTATACTTCATTACCTGTGTTTCTGAAATAAAATTGTATTCAGTGCCTTAACATGAAGAGGATTGAAAAGATAAAAGAGATGGATCCAATGCTTTGTCCTCTCCTCAAATGAAAGATGAACTGGAAATAACTCCTCCGCCAAAACAAGCTCCATATTTGCATACCTGAAAAATTAAAGAGTCACTGGTCTCATTGCTATTAAAATACCAATTTCGAATTCATAATCTATAAGGTGTTAGTAAGCACACCTGAATTCTTTACAATCTTTGTCAAAGCAAAGCATCAAGATTTTACATGGAATATGCTCAAAATGATCACATATTGTCATGTGGCCTTCAGAACACTTGTTACAATAATCTCGGTACACTTCTATCAATTTCTGTAGTGCCTTTTTCCTAACACAAATCTGCTTGTAGAAAACCATGACTGAGAATCAGGCAGAAACAATTTAAGCAAAACAGAAGTCCTCTGTAGCAGAATTACCTTCTTATCCCTAAGTCTTTCACTAGTTTCTGATATCAGTTTTGGTGGTACAAATTTCATGTTAGATTTGGTAATATCAGAAGCAGCAATTACTGCCTGCATTCGCACCCTATCATCAAAGTCTAACAGACGTTGTTCAAGTGCATCTGGTCAATTACAAATGAAGAATACAAGCATTATACTAATTAGATTTTGAATTAACAGAACCAAGGGGCATGGCACACACAAAAAAACATTTTTTTTTTAGAACAACTTACTGAGAATTTCAAATGCTTCAGTGCCAGAAGGATTGGCTAGATAGCAAGCTTTGGCACATTGTAGAGCACAAACTCTTACTTCCGCAGATTTATCAGAGAACCTTTTTAAGAATTCCACAAAAAGATTGGGGTATCTTTGTACAACATGGTGGTCAGGAAGCGCCAAAAGTTTTCCAGTTAAATTCATAGCTCTTATTCGAACATCAACCTGATCAGTCTATGAAAAATATATATGACATTACTTTTACAACCAAAAGAAAACAGCAGAAAGAAAAGAAGATTCTGAACAATAATAGTATGGTTGTATTCAAATCCAATAAATAGATACCTGCAATTCTTGGGTTAAGCTTGGAATGACTGCAAGAAGCATCTGTGGAGCACACTGGAAAATTTTAAATGTAATATCATGATAAGATTCTTTGAGCTCACTCTGTACAACATCTCCGTCCAAAAAACAAGACGTCAAAAACCCACAAACGAAAGGCTCAAGTTTTTCTTCACATTGTTGGATGAGGGAAACAGCAAGGTTTGAAGCAGCAGAAGCATTCTGCAATTTAAGCACAAGAAAAGCCGGGAATTAAGAGAAAATGAAGTAAGAGATTCTAACTTCATGCAGAACCATAAACATTCAGAGGCTATAGTCAAAAACTTGACAATTCAGAGTTTAATTTAACTGGAAACTGCACAAAATCCATGAAAACTTGAGAGGAAACAGAACTACTCACCTTGCAGGGCTAGGAAACAAATGTTTCAAAACAAATTATTGGGAGAAAAGGAGAGCAAGAAGATGTAGTCTAATCACAATAATAGTAATAATAATTGATTAAACTTCAAGTCTATCCTTTCCAAGTTTATGGCATATGAATGGTTAACAATATCAAAATCATTAAAAGATATGCATGCAGAAAATTGAATTCAAGAAGCAAATCTCATTGCATTTGCATTTTGAAAAATATCACAATTCCTCTAACAGGAAAAGTAACTATATCACACAGTAGGTGCATAAAGATGATTAGGAGCCAATCAACTAAACAATAAAAAAGCATAACCAAATGTAGAAAGATGAAGAAAGACAGAATCTCAATATCAGTCAAGAGAGCACCAAATAGCAACCCTTTTCCATTTAAACCATGCAAGATAAATGTTTATATATCATTCACGTATTAAAATAATTCATAATGCAAGATAATATTGTTTAAAGCTTCATATGAACATGAATCCATGGGAACAGTTGGCACAAACACTTACCTTTCCTTCCTTCACAAGATTCTGCAAAATAACATCTATAATGGACTGAGAAGATTCTTCATTTACAATATCACTCATTATAGAAGAAATATCATTGAATAAACTCTGCTGGTGATGTTCTCTGTAGAAGAAAATTATAACATCATACAGTCATTACAAAGTATCCTTTTAGAGCAAAATTATTAGTATTAGTTACACGTATAACAAAGTAAATGGAAGCTCAAAACTAAAACACCTTACTACCATAAGAAAATAAAGAATGACTGAACTGAATCTAAATCTATACTGATTAAAATCCAGTAGAGGCTCCAATCATAGGTGACTAACTTTCAACCAACTGTGCACATGGATTTCTCAGAAATACAGGATTTCTCAGAAATATATCATTTTCTAGTTTGCAAAGAAATTGGGAGGCTCTTTTTGGCTGAGGCTTTTCCAGTTTCTATTATTGTTTTCTTTTTTGTTCTTCTGTACAAGGATGCCTTATCCCCTCTCTCTTTTTGGAAATTTTTTCTTCTGCTCTTCTTACCAATACTTCTTTTAATAAAAAACAGTAGTAAAGAAACTATCCACTCTTGCTGAACCAATTAAGAGTACTCTATGTTTTAGCCAGGGATTAAAGCATAAAAAGAAGTCTAAACAAGAATGTTCACATACATCTGCAACACTTATTACAATATCTCCAACTTTAATCAAGCCAGAACAGAAAGCTATATAGTTTCACCTCTGTAATTTAGCCTTATTCAGATATAAAATTTGTAGATCTATTTCTCACAATTCAGTATTGAAATCTGGTCATTAGTTATTTAACACAACACTACTATTTTTTTTAAGTTCTTATTTTATAACTTCTTTTTTCTAGTATTGACTTGTTTAACCGCAAACTCAAATGTATGTTTTTAGAAATCCAGTTATGTGCAGATTATACTCCAGAAAGGTAATTATTATATATATTAACTAACTGTCATATGGACATAAAAGTATTACAAAAAAACACATGGTTTGAATTTGAGAAGGCCAAACTACAAAGAATAAAATTATAATTGGATCAAGAAAATACTATTGAAATACAAGAAGCTCTTGATGATCTAACAGTCATTCTGAACCAATTTTCTTGATAATAGAAAAAATTTGGAAGATCAAGTTAACAAAAACACATATAAAAACAGCATACTGTAGGTTTAAAAACAAGCATGGAGGAATACTCGAAAATATATTCTTATAACAGGCATGAAAAGGAGCATCACCTCACAACAGAGAAAAAGATTTTGAACATTTCAAGAACTAAATCGGGGCAGTCAATGTCCAGCATTATCACAAAACATTTACACCGAGCAACAGTCTCTAGAATTTTAACCCTCTTTGAAAAGTATGGGCTCGTAGCATCTGCTAGCTCCACAAACACGCTAAGAATCAATCGGAAGATGTCCTGAAATTCATAAATAATCGGTTTTGCAATTAGATGCTACAGAAAAGAAATCTGAGATGGGCAATGAAACCATAGGTCTACATGAAAAGATGCACCCTGTATTCTTACATGAAAAGAACTACAATATATGCACATATCTATATAACACTTATACGGACATGTTCTCACATGACCATGCTTTAATATGTGTGGGAAAATAGGTAGTGAGAGCTACAACCACTAGTCAACATATAAATATACTCTACCCTCAGATATTTATCTTCAAAAGGTGGTTCAGGTGCCAGAATTCTAAATACTTCACTGACACATATGGACACCAAAAGCCTAACTTCTTTATCACCATGCTTATGGAGGCCATTCTTGATAATGGATTTTCTCAGAGGCTTTGTAGCATCTTCTATATTTTTTGCAGCTTCTTGCTTCTTGGAAGTTTCATGGAGCGAAGGTGGTTCCATTTGTGACAATGCACTGGCAGCTTGCTGCAAAGAAAATGTATGAAATATAAGAAACGGCAGAAATATTTGCTGGAAAGATAGATACACAGCTTCCAGCAGATTGGCATAACAAACATGTAATGGAAACCTCCGGTCAACTGGCCAACTTCACGGAAAAAACAAAAACAAAAACAAAAGAAAAACTACAGTAAATTTATAAGACGATTCTAAAATTACAACACCTAGAATTTCTTGTCGCGCATCCTACCTGATTTCCATCATAAACTTTAAAACGCAAGAGAGATTCTTCTATCCATAAATCAATAGTTACAACTAAAACCACCCATACAACTTCGGCTTAAATTCTGCCTCCTTAACCTCCTTGAACTGTAACAGCTAAATGTGAAAATGCCCAGCAGTATCCGATGAATGTATTCGCATTTTACCCAATAGAACCATCTAATGAAACACAACAGCGTCGAAGGTAAAGTGCAGTCCAAAGGAGATGGGCCAACGATTGTCATTATTACGCAAGAGAACATCAAAATTCCATAAACATTTCGAGATTAACCCTCATAATTTTAAAGGAAAAAGAAAAAAGGAAATACCGATAGAAAAATCATTTAACCAAACTGCAGTGAAGCAAAGATTAAAAGAAAAATATCGTGAGAGAAACATTTACGCAAAACTACATTCAACTCCGTCTTTTATTTTTCACTTACGCGGAGCGATCTTAGAAGCAGATCCTTGTTAGGGCGAGTGAGTTGGCCAAGTTGGCCGCCGATTGCAGAGACGAGTTGTAACGGGGACTCTTGCATTTGATGATAATGGTTGATCGCGAAAATCTATAGATGATTTCAAAGATAAAACAGTCGATTGAAGTGAAGAGAGAGTGATGTTCTTCAGTGGTGATGGTAGTTTTTGCACAATCTCTAACAGGCAAAAAAAGCGGGCGGAGTTCCTGATTCTGAGAGCGCAGAAATTTTAAGAGAAAAGAGACTCCCGCTTTCAGCCTCCCCCGGCCCCCACTTTAAAATCCTAGTTTTGTTTTTCCTTTTTTCTCTGATGATAATGAGCACGTAGACCCGGTTTCGAACCCTTATAGTCACAAATAAAAATTAAAGTATTAATCATTCAATGTTTAAAATGTTAAATCATTGCCTCCCGATGTTTTCGCTCCTTTTCTTCCTTTTTAATATTATCCTGATTTATTTAATATATTTTATATATTTCTATTACTTAAATAATTTTCAATAATATTAGTTGCTATTTCAACCATTTTATTTTTCAAATGATGACGTGGTAGTAATTTTTACATTGTTGTTAGATTTAACACTCAAATTTAATGGGATAATGTAAAGTGTAATGATTTGTAAAATTTAGAGTTCTTTGTTTTTTTTAAATGTAATTTTTATATAATGTATAAAATTGTATGAAATTTTTTGTAATTATCTAAATAAATATAAATTAATTTGTTGATATAACTAAATTTAATAAATATAAATTTTGTGTATTGTATATAATTTATCCATCAAATAGAATGGTCAAATTATGTGTGGTAATTTAATTTTACGGTCCTTTATTTTTATTTTAATGTTTTAAAATATTTAATATAAATAGTAAAATTTTATTTTATTTTATTTAAATAGTAAACTTATGTTATTAAAAATATAATAATAAGTAATAGATATAATATACTAACAAAATAATGATAAACTATAAGAATAATATTGTTAACTTTATGATATAATATCTAAAATTATATAATAATTTGTTAAGAACAAGGTAAAGATGTTTATTTGTCATATTTTTGTATTAAATGTAGCACATTGTTGCCACGTGCATTTACTTGTTTTACAAGCTATTTAATATAATAAATATAATTACTTATAAACATTAAATAATATTATGATAAATTGTCATAGTTTTATATAGTAATTTATGTATTTTTAAGTTATCAAGTGATATATATATATTATTTTAACATGTAATACCTATTAATCTATATATATATAGAATACAAACTATATACATATATTCACTAAATAATATATGTATATATAAATTCAATTCAATTTATACTCTACAAACTATTTACCGTGTAAAATACAAAAAAGAAACAATTTATTGATTGAGAAAATATGTTGAATAATATTTGAAAGCAAAACATCTAACCTATGGTGGAAACCAAATAATGCATGCCATCAATTACGAAGTTACTTACAAATTGTATTATATGTTTACATAATAGAACATAAAATTTTATGTTTTATTTATTTATTGTTGATTGCATAAATTTTTGTTCTATTTTATATTTTTATACGTGATGATTACATTTAAGTATATTTTAATATATATTTAAAAAAAAACAAATGATAGTAATATATAATAATTTATAAAATATTATATTTATAAATATTTCAGTTATAATTTATTGTTTATTAAAATATATTATTTTTGTATATAATAAATGAATAAGTTATGTATTATATGTTCTATTACATTAATTAAAAAAAATTAAGTATCCTATGTAATATGAGATAAATATTATTATTAGCTATTCTAATATTGTGATAATGTTTTAAAACATAGTTCATAAATTTTATGAGGATAAGGTTTGAAATATGCAATATTAGATACGTTGGATAAATTATAAAATTAGTTCATAAGTTTTAGTATTTATTATAATTTAATATTTAGTATTTGTTGTTATATTCTTAATATTTTTTCATAATAATTTACTATTCAATATTTTTTAATTATTTTTTACTATTAATTTTATTAAATTTATTGATTAAATAAAATTAAAATAATTAAATTATATTCGGATACTTTTAAATTAGTTTGAATAAATAATATTAACTAAATAATTAAATTAATAAATTAATAATAATATTAAACATATTTTTTATTATTATTAGTTTAAATAAATAATTAAAAATATTAAAACATAATAAAAAAAATTATTCACCCAAAACAATTACAAATTAAATCATAACAAATTTAAACATTTGAAAATTAATTTAAATATTTATGGTAATATATAACAAATGCAGCGGAATTCACGCTCGCTGGACTGCACCAACTGCGAAAAACTGTTACGCTGGTAGTTCGTTAGGTCAGCCAATTGTAGTCCCGATTCCATCCTTAAAGCCTCAACAGTCAAAACATCTGCCTCCAAAACCCGAAAAACAAACAGCGAAAAAATGGAGGCTGCAAACAAAATTGGAGCACTGGCAACGAGATTAATTGACAATAAAACGGCGATAAACGTGTTCCTGGGCGGATCGTTCTTGGCACTGGGCGTGAGATCGTTGAACCAACAAAAAGACATCGAAGCCCTAGAAGCAGAAAAGGAATCGCTCATCAAGTCCAACAAGGCCATAAGGGAGGCCATGTGGAACTGGAAACAGCAGCTGTTCGCCGAAGCCACCGCCGCCGCAGATAACGCTCTTGTTCCTCTATCCAAACTCAAGGCTATTTACGGCGAAGCCTCTACTCCTCAATCTGGTACTCCTCTCTCTCTCTCTCTCTCTCTCTCTCCATAGACAAACATATACGTAATTAATGTCCTGAAAGTGGATTTTGATGTGCGTAATGAGCAGAAATTGCGGCACTATTTTCTTTTTCGTTGTAATTCCAGAAGTACAAAGAGTTTTATAAGATTTCCACACGATTGGTTAGCCGATTTAGTTTATATGCGCTTGTTTTTCTTTTCTTTTTCTTTTTTTTATACTGTGCTGTTCATTTAGGCAATATTTGTAAAAGACGAATTTTCTTTGTCTAATCTATTTAGAAATTCATACTTATACCAAAGAATATCAAATTTGATAATATTCCAATTGCATTATTTTAATTTTAATTAAAATTTATAATTTATTTTATTTTAATCATAGGCTTAGAATTACTTTTCTGATTTTGGTTTTGTAAATTAAAAATGGGGAGTGGCTTTTCTCTAATCTGCTTTTCATTCACGGTATGCTGTTGGAAGTTTGTAAGATGCTGGTTTTTGTTGTCCCGTTGGTTAATCTATTTTTGTATAAAATCTAACAATCGAGTGGTAGCAAAAGGAGAATCAATCTGAAAATGGGTTGATGCTGCAATTTCAAACATAATATGGTAATTGAGTGAAAATGGTTGAGAATTGAGTTGAACCAAACAATATCATTTAATATGGGACATTGTTAATTGGCTCTGTTGCTGAAGTTTGCCTGTTCTAAGGATGCACTTCTCACAGCAGAATGATTTTCACTGACTTCTAATAATGAGGTTTTTCCTTACAATGTCAATATAGTTATAATTCAAGCAAAATGGATGAGGTTGAGGCTTCTTCTGGTTATGCTAAGCAGCTTGACCCTTGGTTGGTGATTAATGATTATGAAAGTCAGTCTAACTGTGTTATGGGCATAGTATTGTGGATAAAATATGCTGAAGTGATAGGTGCAGTAACTCTACATAATGATGAAGTATTTGAGGTTCTTTGAGTTTTACCTGTTGCACAAATAATAAGGGGGATGGATTAATAGGTGAAATTGCAATATTTTTAAGTAGCTCTTACCGTGACGATGACTGGCACGGAGCCCTGTTGAGCCAGTCATCATTTTGAGCTTTCATTTGCATTTAAATCCAAGTGCCCCTCCCCCATCCTTGATGTTTATTATCAGTTTTTTAATCTCAATTTTGTATCTTCCTTCATTCTTGCTGTTAATGAATTTGGATTTTCCCAGTGGCTGCATGGCAGCAATAAGATAAATAGTTTAGTAATTTATATTAATTTACACGTCCGGTGTTCACCAACTGATGCAATGGTAGTTAACACGATTTGACATTATTACAACGAGACTACCAGGTTAGCTGCGGAAGAGTCTGTCAGTTTTTTTTTTTTAAATTTTATGCATTTTTCTTTTTTTTTTTTGGGTAGTCTGAAATTAATTCGTTAATGTCATAAACTAAGCTATTGTGGCAAAATTAGGGACTTGCCAAAAAAAAAAAGGATTCATAGCAAGGTGGTTATGCTTGTTTGCTTTAGACATGGTTATATATAGTGCTTCCCTTTGTTTCAGAAATAGGAAACAGATCTAAAGAATATTTATTGTGCTAATTCATTTCGTGCATGTTATGGATTCTCTGCCCGTAACACTCTCCATCTTTACTTATTTTTGCTCACTCACACGGGCACAAATACATGTCTTACTGGTTTCCAATTCTACAATTTTCTTAATGCAAGTGGAGCTTGTTTTTTTTTTTTTTTGCAACAAATTAGTCCTGCTCTTGGACCCTTGGCTTAATGACATTGAAATGGAATGTCAGCTTGTGACTGATGGGGAAAACACATTTATGCACATATGTTTCCCAGATTACGGGTCATCTAATGGGGTTTAATGATCATTCCAGGAGATGCAGGGAAGGAAGATGTGAAATCACCTGCTTCTAGATTTGTAGTCTGAACATTTGATACTTCTTGAAGATACAAGTATTGCATGGTAGATTGCATATAAGAAAAATTTCAGGCGAGATGAAAAAGCACTTGGGATACATCTTAACTCCACCTTAACCGGCATTCAGAACGGAACACAGGCATGGGGTAGAGTAATAATCCTTCTGTGGGACTCTGCAAAGATGCAAAGAACCTCAGTTTTTCTTGTTCTTGCAAGAACCTTGATGATGGGGTGATTCAGTTTCTTACCGAGACTGTTCTTGAAAATGGTAAAAAGTATTGATGAACTTTTTTTTAGTCTGAAACGTGTGGTAAGTTATAGGTAGAGTGATTTCTTTGATGTTGTTCCAACAATTTTGTGGTTTAAGAGAGTTGCACATTATGTTTAGATAACAATATTGAATGAATAAAGAATTAAGAAAATGCAAAGAGAAAAGTAGTTTTTAAAATGAAAATGGAAGAAAATACTTCAGTTGTTTGAATAATTATTTAAATAATAAATGAAAAGAAATGATTGCTATAATATTTTTGGTTTAATTTGATAAAAATAAAACAATTAATTACAAAGATAATCAAAATAATAAGAACAGAATAAAAATTTTTATATTAAAAGTTTAGTTCATATCATTTGAAGGAAATAGAGAATATGTAGTATTCATAATTGCGCTCTTTTTATCACTAACTACTAATTATGGTTTTTAATTCAAATTGAAAAAAGTGTGACCTTTCTGCAAATAATTCGTCGAACATTCACATAGTCCGCCGGTTTGACGAGATTACGCTGGAATCTGGCTCTTCTCCATGAACCTAAGCAGTCATACTCGCAGCGGAAGAGGTGCTGCCTCTCCAGTGGTTTGGCTTTCGCCCTAACTATGCCCGAAACTTCTGACGAAGTGAGGGCCGGAGTCCAGTTGAAATCTTTGCAATGATTTTCTAATTAAGAGAAAAAAATAATCGTTTTTATCTATTATATTTTACAATTTATTTTTCATGATTCAATTTTCGAACTGATTCTAACACCCTTTTCACAGTTTTGACCGCGGAGGAGATTATCAGGTGACCTTGATGGGGGCAAGATGAGGTGTCTGCCTCCGCATTCTCTTGCTTAGTTACAGCTTCTAAAGATTACTCCCTAAGCGAGGACGGATTTTGGGTCTCCTTCCTGATTAGTTGAGTTTTGAGCGTACACAATAGAAGGTACTGATAATTCTAATAATTTCCTCTGCTGATTGAATCAACGTCTGCTTTTCTGTCACAATTATGCTGTTTCATTCCTGTTTATATCAGTCTCTTTATTTGATTGTCCATATTAAACTGCTTTAGCTTACTAGTCTGCCAGTTTAGTCTATTTGATAAACTCCTAGGGACTTTGCTGTTGCTGATCATTGAAGATTGCTATAGTCTGGGTTTTTTGGTCTGTCAAGCACTCTCTCTGAATCCCTAATCATAAGTATATTTTATTTATCGTTTATGATGGTTGTTTGGCTTTCTTTATTAGTTATTTAATATAATATCACATTTTCATTTAATTGTTTGAGAGATATCAGACTCGAAAACTAAAAATCATGCCGTAATTTTTTTATGAAATTATTAATAGAAATGATATACTTTATCCATGTACCCACTGTACAAAATATTCATTTAGTAGGGCAACTATTAATTTACAATTTGGATAGATAAGGGTGGGTGGGATGTTTAGATTTTGGAACTCTGCTGAAGGTTATGGGAGTATTCAAAACTAGAATGCTCAGTTTTGCGCTTGAGTTATCTGTATACTCTCCCTTCTATATATGGTTTTTCTGCTCGAATTTTACCATTGTTAAACTTTATTCAAACATTATGTTTCATCTTACTTTTGTTGCTATGCATTGTTCTCTTGCATCGTTTTGTGAATTCAAAGGATATAAGTACTTTTTTAATTTCTGTGAAAAGAGTTTCTTGAGGATAAGATTCTGAACCTTCACTGATGCTAAAACCACAGTGTTGACCATATTCTTGAAGAGGAATTGATGGAAATGAATGGAGGAAGCGATGTAAGTGCATCTGCCAACACTCTTCTACAGTGGAGCCAGTGGCAGTTACTTGATTCTATTCTCCCTACAGGTGGTTTTGCTCATTCATTTGGTCTGGAAGCAGCAGTTCATGCGCGAGTAGTTTCGTGTCCTCAGGGTCTTCAAACCTATGTGACTCATGTGTTAGATAACACTGGGAGTTTACTGCTCCCCTTTGTCTACTCTGCGGCTCTGTCTCCAAGTTTAGAAACCTGGCACAAACTTGACAGAATGTTGGATGCAACTTTAACAAATGAAGTTAGTCGAAAGGCATCAGTTTCACAAGGATCAGCACTTATGAGAGTGGCTGCTACTGTTTTCCCAGAAGTCCCCTCCTTCAAAACCATGAGGGATGTGTCTCTGACATCAAGAGCTGTTTCTTTTCATCATGCTCCTATCTTTGGACTCATATGTGGGCTTCTTGGGATAGATAGCGGAACTTCTCAAAGAGCTTACATGTTTGTGACAATGAGAGATGTTATTTCTGCTGCAACAAGATTGAATTTAGTAGGACCAATGGGGGCAGCTGTAATGCAGCATCAGATTTCTCTTGTCGCTGAAGTCCTGACGAAAAAATGGATGGACCGTGTAGCTGAGGATGCTTGCCAAACAGCTCCTTTGCTTGACACTGTACAGGGCTGCCATGGTTATTTGTTCTCTAGATTGTTCTGCTCCTGAAGTCCAGGTAAGCACTTCAATACTTTGGCCACTTTTGTTAGCAATAATATCAGGTTTGCTAATTAACTAGTGAACATGATTTTGTTTTCTAAATCTATAATTCCGTTTCATGGGCATCAAAATGGTAGATGCACCAAATTTATTGTTTTCTATGAAAAGTACACATTATTCTTGCGTACAGAATATATTGTTTAGTGAACATGATTTTGTTTTCTAAATCTATAATTCCGTTTCATGGGCATCAAAATGGTAGATGCACCAAATTTATTGTTTTCTATGAAAAGTACACATTATTCTTGCGTACAGAATATATTGTTTCAAGTCAGCTGAACACAAGAAATTGTGTAGAACTATATCTATTTTTTTTTAAAAAAAATCTGTATCCTATGAGGCATTAATATGCATTTTCTAGGAACAACTGGGGTTCAATTCAAACCGTATTTTTGAGACCCAATGCAGTATGGATCTCTAGTATAGTTACATTGCTATCCCAGGCAGTGGCTCACGGTATTCAATTGACCCTGAATAAAATCCTAACATATATCTTACAAATCCTGATGTTGATTTTGTTTTTTCAGAATATCTTAAGATATCATCTTCTTTAACAAATATGTTGTAGTAGTTGTGTTAGAGAGAAAATAAAATTTCACATTTTAAAATTTTATAGAGGTGAGGGGTTAGGGGAGGTGTGGAATGTGGATGTGGTGCAGAATTTGAATGATTGAGAGTTTGGAGAATATGAAGCGTTGCTTCAGTTTTTCTCCTGTGCTCATGTGGCCTTGAATAGAAATACATTGTTGTGAAAACCAAAGCAAGATGGACAATTCACTGTAAAATCATTTTATGATGTGCTGATGAATTCTAATGGTAACGAGACTATGGTGTTCCCTTATAAATAGATTTGGAAAGTCCATGCTCCGTCAAGAATTGCTTTCTTCACCTGGGAGGCAGGGAGGAAGTGCATTTTGACTATTGATAATCTGATGAGAAGGAATAGAGTAATGGTGAATGCATGTTACTCATGCAAATCGAGCAATCATCTTCTCTTATGGTGTCCTGTCATATATAAATTATGGCCTATGGTTTATAGTTTCTAGGTATTAATTGGGTTGGGCCAGGATTGGCGAAGGAGGAGATTTGGGCTATTTCTTTGTTTGGGGGGGTGGGTGGGGAGAGGATGCATTTTGATTCATAGTTGAAGTTACTTTTGAAAAGGAAGGTACTCAGAAAGCTAATAGTTGGAAAAGAAATGACACCAACAGACACCATTATAAAACACTTTTTAGAGTTAAGAGTTTTTTTTATTTTTATCTTGTTCGATTCACCATTAAATTTTATTCACCAAAAATACCATAATTAATTAAGTTACATTATATATGTTCTATTCATCATGTGATACTGAGTTGTTGTGGGTTGATAAATCAAATTTGCTTCTATTCTGACGAGAAAACCTTATCTTAGAATTCAACAAGAGGAAGAACTTTTCTTTTCTTTAATCACTTTTGGCTAGTTTTTTCGTGGCAGCAGGGACCATGTCTCAGTTAATTTGAAATATGCACCTCGAAAGAAAGTGTATGAGGTTTTGCATTAACCATGCTGCCAACCTAACAGCTTTTTTGGGAAAAAGGAAAAAGACACTGCATCAACCAAAAATTTTATGGACCACTACTTACTCATTTTGTTTGTATGCAACTTGGGCGCCTTAACATTGACATGCAGATAATGTTTTTCTACTTCAAATGCATTTAACTCAAAGGTTTGCGGGTTCTTTATACGCACACGCACACGTTTGATCGTGTTTAAAGAGTTGATGCTCGTGTTAAAATTATTACAAAATAAGGCTGTGTAAGTTATATCATTTTGAATTATTTCATCTCATCTAATGTTATATTAGACTCAAAACTAAACTGCATAATTGAATTTTGATTAATTGGAGTGTTATACTTAACAGGAGAAAAGTCAAATATATATATATATATATTACAAAAAGTGACTGGGAATTTGGCGTACGCACTTATTTTAAAAGGTATATTAATTGATTGGTTTCTGTGCAGCATTTGGCCTAAAAAGGCAAAGACAGATGAATCATTACTTACTAACTTGTTCATTACTCTTTGACTTCTGGCTTCCATTAAATTACCTTCAACTCTTTATGCCTACTCAAAGTGGTGCTAACATGTTTTGCCAAACCCATTTCTCTACCTCTGCTTAAACATGTATAATACTTTCTCACATGCATCACTAGATTCAAGGAAATGTCCCCATAACTTAATTCTTTCTTAGTTCATGACACTACCAATCAAGTCTTATACCGCAAATTTGATGTTGATCCCTATGCATTTATTTACATCCAAGCTTTTAAATTATATTTTCCATTCAATTAGCAGGGTGTAGTGTACAAAAATTATTAAGCATTTTACTATTATAACACGATTACTTATTTTATTATTTTTTACTTCATACGTATATTATTACTCTTTGAAAGCACACTCAATTTATTACCTAAATTACCCAAAAGCTACACAAATAATCACTGACAAGAGAACAAAAAAATCATTTTTTTTTATTGCTTTCTTATTGGTTGTATCGATTTTTGTCCCATTTTTTAGTCATATATACGATTACCACATTTTAAGCACATATTTGGTGTTTTTTTTTTAAATTTTAATAAATGATCAGATGGGTAGTTTATAATAATTTATAAAATATCATACTTTTGTTTAGTTTAAAAAAAATAAAATAATAAAATATAATTCTTACTTACGTTGTAACATAACATAAAACAAGTATTTTAGTTCCTAATTACACAATTAGTTGAATATAAAATCATGAGATTTAAAACCTTATGATATTTATTTTTCGCTAAGTAAAGAATTTAAAAACTCTTCGTGGCGTACGAAGAAAAAGGATATGTTTGGCATATTCTTTGGTGTCAGTTTGCCGAAACAAAAATAACACATTTTTTTATTTCAAGTAAACCTCATTAATTCGCCTTAATTAAAAAAACCCAAACAGGGAGTAATTTACCGTCTAGGTTAGGACACTTTCTACCTATTTTCAAACACCCACGGGCCACGGCAGTGAAATAGGATGGGTGCTTTAATGTCTAATTGATTCACTGTTAGCTAATCATTATTATTATTATTATTAACAACTTTAAAATATTGGTAACATGAGTTTATTAAGAATTATTACAATATTATAATTGAAGAAAAGTAATAATTAACTATTTTAAATATAATTAAACACTAATTTTAAATAATTACATTTTACTTCTATTTTTTTAATTAAATAAACACTTTTAAACCATCTGGGGGGATTGGAGGAGAATCTTTTTTTTACCCCACCAATTTAAATGCACATTAATTGATTTTTAATTACAACATTAATTAACCTTTTTTTTTTTAACTGTACGAAAGCAGTTTTACATGGAATAGAAACAGAAAATTAAACCCCACAAAATCCAATAATGCGATGTAACCGTAAAATTTCTTATTTACTGAACGTCTATGGTACTATTTATATGTATGTATGTATATATAACTCTGGAACTTTGGAAATCTAAATGAACCAGAAATCTATTTTTTTTTTTTAAAGAAATGGATAGGAAATTAGGGTCAACGTCAACGTCGGAGAAAAGTATATTCATTGAATGGCTGCGATTTTGCTGCCTCTAACAGTATGAAGTTCAATCTAGGTTGGGTGGGGGCCCACTTGAGAGAGAAAAACTAGTGTACTATCTCATGCACACGGAAAACACTTAGTTTAAACAAAATTAAAAGAACAGAAAATTAAACGAGAGCATTTTTTAGTTTTAGTTTGCAGAGAGAGAGAGAGAGAGAGAGAGAGAGGAGAAAAGCACATGATTTCAATGGCACGGGAGAAAACGAGAGACGTTTAGGTTCAACCAGACAAACCTCACACAAACACACAAAACAAACCACATGGCAGAAGAGTTTGCCCCCTCCGTTACGCTCTCCTCTTCACATTCTAATTCTAATTAGGGTTTTCTAGTCTCTTTCTTTTTTTTTCTCTGTTGCTTAGCTGCTAATTCAATTGTCCTCTCTCCTATTTCTCTCTCTTTCTCTCTCTCTATCTCACTATTTAGTCCTCGAGAACCCGTGAAGTTTGAGTTGGGTTTGTGTTTTTTTTTCCTTCTCCTTTCTTTTAGTTTGATTTGTTACCTTTGGCGATTTGGAGAGAGAGAAAGATAGAGAAATGGAGGAGGGTTGGTTGTGTCAATGGAGTGTGTTCAGATCTCTTCTGGCAATTCTCCAGTGGTGGGGATTTAACGTCACTGTGATCATCATGAACAAATGGATCTTTCAGGTGTGTTCTTCTTTTTATGGTTGGCAATTTGTGATTTGCTTAATTATGCCGTTTTCTTTGTATTGCAAATTCAATTTTACAATGTTTTGGTCGTTTTGTGTATGTTTTCCTTTATTGATCTAATTGATTTCATTAGCTGGGGAATTCCAGTACTATTATTTCAAATTTAGTCTACTTCTTCTTTGCTGTAATTCAAACGCCAGGAATTCTGGCCACGCCGATCTACACCATGGTTATTATCAGTTCTTTTAATCTCAATTTGTAGCTTCCTCTCATTCTTGCTGTTAACGAATTTGAATTTTCTTCAGTGGCCACGTGGCGGCAGTAAAGATGAATAATTTAGTAATGTATATTAATGTAAATGTTCAGTGTCCGCCAACTGATGCATGGTGCTTAACCCTTTTTCCTGACATTATTATAAGGAGACTGCCAGGTTAGATGGGCGTAACAGTCTGTCAGTTTTTTGTTTTTATGCATTCTTTTTGGGTAATCTGAAATTGATTCCTCGTTTTCGTAAACTAAGCTACTGTAGCACATTAAGGTCGAACTGGTTTAAGGAAATGCATAGAAAAGCTGTTATACTTGTGGCTTTAAACAGTTATATGTAGTGTTTCCCCTTGTTTGAGAAATAAGAAAAAGTTCCAAGGATATTTATGATGCTCAATTCATTTAGTGCCTGTGGAGAGCGTTTAGATGATGGATTCTTCCCATAACATTAGCTCATTTATGTAAAATGTTCATATGAATGAAAGGGAAAGGCAAGCTAGTGGTTGTAAGGGCTGATATAAAGTCGGATGTGTACATATAGCTTGACCCTTGTACTGTGACATTTGAAAGACCTTGAGTTTTTCAGTCTGTAATGTTCTTAGGGCCTTCGGGGTAATGGTTGCTTGAGTGTCATGACAGTTAATTAAGAAAACTTGGAGGATCTGAAGATAAATTGTTTGAGTTCTATGAATCTTTTTTTGGGAATTTATAGTTTAACACATCACAAAGTTGGCTTAATGCGTCACCCAGATGTTCAGAGTTTTTTTTTTGAGACTGTCAAGTGGTCAAAATCTTATTAATGATGTAGCAGCTGCCTTGTTATTGTGTAACTAATAAACCATAGAGGCTGAATGCATCTTCTTAAGTGCTTTATTTTCCTTTATGATCTCCTACATATGTTTTATAAGTAGTTTAGTTATGTTTATCTGATGAAAAATAGATATACAAAATTTTTTATTTCTTTTAACTTTTGAAAAAGAAAAATCAGAAGGGCCCTTTTAATCAAACTTTATTTATTGAGTGCTGGATTAGCATGCCCATTTTTAGTTCTCTTGATATTTTTAACTATTTCAAGGCTTTTTACAAAAAAAAATTGATTCAACTTACAGTTGTATTAACTTAGATGAAGTTCCAATTCTCAAGGCTTTAGGGTTTGATTCTAGTTGTTTGTTGGACCTGGAAATAAAATTTGAAAATGTTGGGCAAACTGTATCTTGTTTTGTCTTTTATGTATATCATTTTTGTTAGTCAGCTACATTTTTCTAGGACATTTTAGTTATTTACGGAGGAACCTGCCATTAGGCCCAAATGATAGGTCTGATTTAGTTTTTGTTGGATATATTAAATAGCAGGCAAACCCTGATTCACCTGCATGGGGTTATCAATTGTGATTCTGAAAAAGTTTTGTTGATCTTTGATAAGTGGCTTCCAAGGGTATAGTTTGATCAAGAGCTAAAACATTGCGTTCCGTGCCAGTAAAGTGAGAGACCTTTGACTGAACTTATTTTGCTATTCTATGATGTAGTTTCATTCTGAACGATTTGCTGATGAATAATAATTAGCCCATATCAACTTGGCAGTTGCTTTCTTATTAAGTTATTCAATTGATACCTAAGCTCATCCATTTGTCAACTGTTTCCCTATTGGTGATTAAACATTCACCACATTTTTATTTCAACTGATTACTGTTAAATGAAGTTGTTTGATGTGCATGGGTATGGTTAGTCTCTGAAATTTTGCTTTGTTTACCTTCCATAGAAATTGGATTTCAAATTTCCTCTGTCAGTATCATGCGTTCACTTCATCTGCTCATCCATTGGAGCATATATGGTAATCAAGGTACTGAAGCTTAAACCACTGATCGTGGTTGATCCAGAAGATCGTTGGAGGAGGATATTTCCCATGTCTTTTGTATTCTGTATTAACATAGTGTTGGGGAATGTAAGCTTACGATATATTCCAGTTTCTTTTATGCAGACAATAAAGTCATTCACCCCTGCAACTACAGGTCAGGCTCAGGATCTCAACACAAGCTATCTCTTTCATTCTGTATTCTAGTGTCACAATTGTATCTGACCTCAATGCATTTGGACAGTTGTTTTGCAGTGGCTTGTTTGGAGAAAATACTTTGACTGGCGCATTTGGGCTTCTTTGGTGCCCATTGTTGGAGGAATACTCCTGACATCTGTTACAGAGCTTAGTTTTAATATGTTCGGATTCTGTGCTGCCTTGTTTGGATGTTTGGCTACTTCTACAAAGACTATCCTTGCTGAGTCTTTACTGCATGGATACAAGTTCGATAGGTATTTTCTATGTCGTCGTTGTTGTCTTTACCTATTCTTATAGCTTTGCTTCATTATTATGAATGCCACAATAGAATTATGTGAACGTCAGATAAAAAGGATGGCAAGAGTCTTAATCTAGCCAATATGTTTAAATTTTTAACTTTTTATTGCTTGAAGTTTATATATGGATGAGTTTTTGCAAATTAGGTTCTTTGTTAACGTCGTAGAATAGCCTGGTTGGCAGCCTATCTTGTTTGTAAAGCAGGATAGGCAGCTTTGGGGAAATTATGTAGGCAGATAATTGTTTACATCAGCTAATGCTGAAGGTATGAACTTGCCTGGCCATAATTATGATACTTTAGTTTACATATATCTGGAACAAATGATTTCCACAAAAAAGTATGGAGTTCATTTGTAAATTACAATTTTTTTAGATCATTCCAAGTTATGGAAATTATTTTGAAATATTCTTTTTGAATTGAGGAAGTCCATCTTTAATTCTGTTAAACATGGTGGACTTTGAAAATCACATGTTACCAAACATATTGTTAGACAGAAAAAAGAGAACAAATTTATATAGAAGAAAATAAGGTCTCCTCTACAAAAACCAGAACAAGAAAGACAAGAAAGGAACATAAAGCGACATGTCCTGAAATGCAACATGGCAATTCAGTCCCATTATAAAGAAGCGAAAGAAACCCCTTTGAAAGCAAACAATGTTTCTTAACCCAAAGTGAAATGGCATTATAGGAGTTGATCTGGAAGATTTTTGCACTTGTTTCCAACCATAAATCCATATCCTAACAAAGAGAGCCCCTTTCCATAACCTCTTTAGTTTCACCTCTTCTCCTAAATCCTCAAGTATTTGAACAAGTGAAGACATCTAGGGTAGAGGGGCAAATCCAAAAACTCCGAAGAAAAAACTACCAGAGCCAATTCCATAGCTTTTAAGGCACATTACAAGAGACAAACAAATGGCTATTGGATTCATAACTCCAGAAACACAACATGCTAACATTCAGCAATAACACTCCATTAAGTATGCGAGCTTGCAGCAAATACTTACTCTTAATCCAATTTAGTATAGTAGTCCAAATGGAAACCTTAAATGTAGGAGGATTTTTCACCTTCCAAGAACTAGTGACAGTTATTTTCCTTTCCAAATATGATTAGTCAATGGTATTCCATGAAATATTCTAATCGTCATTTTGCATCAAAATTAATTTTTCTTTGCAAATAAATTTCTGATTCAATTCCCGACAAATGAAATGAAATTTAATTGTGCATTTGTTCCATAGAAGTTGTTCTTTTAACATTGACAAAATCGTTCTAAACCAAGCCTTAAACAAATAGAACTGAAAGTTCTGTGGCACTAGATCATCTGGCTCGTCCATTTATGTTGCCTTTGGGTCAGTAGTTTTTTTTTTTGTTAAAATTGTATATTACACTTTGTATCTTCTTAGTGGCCACTGAGGATGTTTCCAGTTCTTTTTTTTTTTTAAGTATAAAGTGTACTGTTTCCAGTTGTTCTGACTTATGAGTGCGGTTCAAGATTGTTGCCAAGAGTTTTTAATGTCAGGCAATTATATTTTGGTGTAGACTGGGAATTCCTTTTGCTCTAGATTTCCATTTTGTTTTCGCACATATTACAAGACTAACGACCTTGGATTAGGGAAAAAGGGAAGTATGTTTGTGCTTATTGTATGCAATATGCTTATGGTGTGGGAGGACAGCTAGGATTCTTGGTCCTGTTTTGTCATAGGAGCCATTGTTTATCAATTTCTGGTTACTGCCTTGGATAACTTGATCGGGGTTATGGGTGCTTATCTGTTAAGGTTTAATATGTTCATCAAGTCTAACACCATAGCGACGTATTTAAGATTTTAAGTCCGGTGTGATATTTTAAAACAAACGTTATGTTTGATTCTATGCCTGTGTTCTTGACCAGATGTTTCCTTAAATTCTGTCCTGGATGTCATGGAACTAAAAAAGATAACCCCTCTCTCTTGGGTTTGCCTTGGGTTCTTCTTTCTCATATTTAATGAGGTAGACATGCCTTCATTCTGTGAGAAGGAAGGCGGAGGTGATAATATTTGAGCATGAAGCCCATATTAAAAATTGACATAGGTGATGCTATCTCTTTCTAATTCTTTCATTTACAACAACTTAAATTATGCCAAGAAATTGAATTGCTTTAGCTTGACTTCTGGAATAGTGTGGGCCTTACTTGGTATATCTCTTATCCTATGAATGCTGTATAACATGTGCATCCATGCATGGATGAAACTTTTAACCATGACTTATAACCTCATACTTCACTGAGTTTTCTTTTCCTTTTGGTGTGTACTTGTGTAGTATAAACACTGTATACTACATGGCACCTTTTGCAACCCTAATATTGGGAGTGCCGGCTATGCTACTCGAAGGCAATGGAGTTCTGGATTGGTTTCATGCCCACCCGTTTCCTTGGTCATCTCTTATCATTATTTTCAGCTCTGGGGTGCTGGCTTTCTGTCTCAACTTCTCCATCTTCTATGTTATTCATTCCACAACTGCAGTTACCTTTAACGTTGCTGGAAACCTTAAGGTGAGACATCAGATTCTTAGCATTATTACTATGCTAAGTTAATGTTTATCATTGTTGAATGCGACTGGACTTATGCTGCTCTTCTTTACTGAGCATACAGTTTTTTCAATTAATTGGGTAAAATGTTTATACCCTTAATTTTTGTGGTTCCATCCCATCTTATTAGATTGTGCAGACTTCATAGCCTGTTTTGGAATTGTATCTGGCTAATCTATTTCCTGGTCTATCAGGTTTGCTTATTGGCTTTATGTTTATTCCGTGCAGGTTGCAGTTGCTGTTTTGGTGTCCTGGTTGATATTCCGGAACCCGATATCAAGTTTAAATGCTGTTGGATGTGCTATCACACTTTTAGGATGTACATTCTATGGGTATGTGAGACACATGCTCTCCCAACAACCACCCGGCACTCCTCGAACACCAAGGACCCCAAAGAATAGGATCGAGCTACTTCCCCTTGTAAATGATAAATTGGATGATAAAGTCTAACTAAGAGGTGCCTGAGGCTTGAGGTTCTTTGCTGTTGGAGGTCATTGATACAATCTTAAACGGGGGGGGAGTCTTGTGAAGGAGGGAGCCACTTTACGTGTGAATTTCCATCAGATTACTCAAAAATTTTCTAATATATGTCCTTTTTGTCTTACTCACGATTGCCTTCTAACAAATATATACTAGCAAATGATAATTACAAACTGCTAGCAGGGGTGGAGTATAGCTTTTAGCACAGCAGTGTGATACACTTTGGATTCAGTTCTAGGCGGTATCTGAATCCCTTGGCTTCTTAGCATTCACTTGATCGAGTAATATGAAACGCCCGTATTTTCCATAATGATTGTCTCTATGATGCATAATTTAATATTTGGACATTTCTTTATAGAATCTACTAAAAAAACTGTGGATTAATTTGTTCATGTCCGTGGTCTGGGGATCACTTGTAGCATCCAGCATATTCAGCTTTAGAAGAGTGCAAAACATAGTCTGCAACGGTAGCATGCTGTGAATTTATGAATACTCTTCTGGGTTTTAGAAGCCAAGATTTATTAAATAATTATGAAATATTAGAAAATTAATTCAACGCATGCTACTTGGGGACACCATAATAGCACCCGTGAAACTTTTGTCTGCCAATCAGGGCAATTACTGCAGGGACCTCATTGCAAGAAATCTTAGGTGAATTCTGCCACTCTTTAATGGCAGCTTTAATTTGCTACCCACAGACCCCTGCTGCTACAGTAACAGCTTTATAATTTACTGCCTTCAGTCATCTGGATTATCAATAGTAACAGTCGTAATTAATTATACACTGCTTATCAATGATATAGAAAGAAGAAAGTTGTAGTTAGTAGTTAAAGGTGGGGATGAGACTAGAAACTAATAATACAGGCCATTTTCCCAAATACTATCTTATGCTTCCAAAGCCTTTTTGCTTTGAACCCATCTAAGCCAACAGCCAGAAATCCTTCTGCCACCTGGTGCTGATAAGGTAACCACCCATGCCTTTGCTCTGCTTCTTTACTCCTATTGTCAAGCAATCAGCACCATTGATGCACTGTTGTACAAATTCCTCCGACCTATTGGTCCCACAGAGGCTGCATTAAGAGAGTGATGATGGTCAAGATGAAAGGAGAGTTAAGATCTAGGGGTGGAGAATGCAAGATGGCATAAGTAGGGAGGAGAGACCCACCAGTTGATGAGGGCAGAGGATTTCTTCTGACCCAGAACCAGTACAGACACCTCCAGTTTCTTCACTTGGCTCATCACGGTCGCCAGCTTTGGTCCTTGGATGACCAAAACTTCTACTTCCACCTGAACATTTGAATTACCCAAGTAAAAGATGAAGTCAAGGACATAATCAGATTCATTAAGCACACCCACATCACCATCATACTATACATATATATAGCTCCTTTTTAAAAAAGCAAGATAGAAATTAAAAAAAAAAAAATAAATCTGGGTTCTGGAAAGTAAAAGATAAACGATCAAAAGAACTGAAACTGGTAAAGTTGTTCCCCACTTCCCCCTTCAAAAGAATAGAATCGCAGTAACATGAGGTGAAAAGGAATGGTTAAAACTATAGTAAAACATAAAATAACCAGAGATACCGCCTCTCGCCAAAAAAAAAAAAAAGAAAGAAGGGATCAACTGGGATCTATCAAACACAACAAAAAATGCATGTTTTCTGTAGGCAAATTGTATAATTACCCCTAAAAAACAGAGCAAACCATGAACACTAGTGTTTAACTTGGTGGGAAGCGTGGGGAGGAACAGAAAATTTAGCGGTTGAGCATTGAAGACCCATCAAAACCCACTTCCTCATGAGCATATATTTTACGTACCTCAGGTCTACAAGCCTTGCAAAGCGAGCCAAGCGAGTGAGCAAGGTTAGGCGTCGAAGAAGTACTAGTCTCATGGGAGGCATTATGTGCAGGATGAATAACATGCAGAAGAGTAAGCAAATCAGCCTTATTAGCCACATGAGTCAATGCCCACATCATAGCGTGCTTAGAATGCGATGCTTCATCCACAACAACCATCACTCTCTTCTTCATTACCAAGCCACCATTGTTGTTGTCACCACCAAGCCCCTCCATTTGGCTCAATCTTCTCTCCCCTCTAAAACCGCCGTTACTGTAATTGTTCTTCCCACCCCACCTCCTCGATGTTGATCTCCAAACTTCTCTACCACTCAGTTGTCTTAAAAACGAAGGCATTATCACTCCCCCCTTCTTCTAAAATTGTGCTTTATATTAGCCGGAAATATCAATTATGGATTGTTCCTAGCTCGTGATTGACAATTGACAAGACCCAGTAAGGTCAGCTCTTCCTTGTGTAGAGAGATTGAGAAGGTGGGTAAGGTCGGGAAGTACAGAGGTTTTTAATTTCAATGCAGAGAAAGAGAGAGACCAAAAGATTGATGAATTGAGGGGGGAAAGTTAAAGAGGAGGTGGTGGTGGTGATGATGATGATGCCAACGCAGGCTATAAAGTTCACGGGAATCACTGTCTTTACTCTTAACTACAGTCTGAGCTATAAAACAGTAAATAATGGTGCTGGTCAGTTTTTGATGATGAAAGAGAGGATTCTCTCTGTACTATACTCTACAACTCACCTCACATCTGTTTCTGATTCCCCTCATCAATTATTTATAATAAAGAAAATCTTAAAGATTTTATTTTAAAGAAAGAATTTCTTTTAATTTCTGATTATCTGCATCCGGTGGGGGGAGGGTATCATATTATTATTATTATTATTATATGATAATGTTTGGATTAAATAAAAAGTAATATTTCTTTTTAACATAACAACAGAAAAGAGCCATGCATAGAGCATTGTGGTCCATGTCTGGGTGGGACTTCATTGAGTTCAATTGCTGTAATTAAAAATTAAGCGTACCATATTTTTGTCAGGTGATCCCCCCCCCCCCCCCCCCCCATGGGCTGCTTCAACTTTAAAAGATGCCCAGCAGTCATGGTAAGGTCTTTTAGTTTTGGATCTGTTCCAATTTTCTGTAAATTGCAATGTCAATATGGGTATCTCAATTTCTTCTTCCGAATAAACAATGGGCATTTTGTACCATTAGTTTTTAAGTCATTTTCAAAGTACAAGTAACATGGGAATTATCACGAGTTTTTTAATGTATACAAAAAAATTCAAATTAAAGTTAAAAAAATAAAATTTGCTTTTCATAACAATTTTTCCCAACTTGCGAGAGAGGAAACAATTGTTTTCTTTTGCAGCTTCTCCCATTCACTCAGTTTGTCAGTAAAACAATCTGACCACCTCAACAGGCTCAAATAATAATTAACATGCAATTTTTAAATAATTTATTTTGGTAATTTTAGGGGGAAATGTCAGAAAGTGGGCCCTCGTGAATTGAGGTGAATCAAGTCAGAACCCTGCTGGTCGTACTTCCAAATAATTGCCCCCGGCTGAGACGCTAATACTGCTCCCATCACCGAAAATACAATTTTAACCCTCATAACTATTCAAATTTACCCATTACCCCTTCATTTTTACTCTTGTTTTTTTCTTCTGTTTTTGTTTTTGTAACTCCAATGCTCCAATCACAACTTATACTTTTTAACTTTGACTAGCTTCTTCCCCTTGTTTCTATATATATATATATATTTTTCGAGAGTATGTATTATATTTTATTAAATTAAATTTATTTTTATATACACAATATATTGTAAGTATTGATGTATTTTTGTGTTAAATTCATCTGATCTCCTCCATTTCAAGGATAGTGTAGTTTGGCTTTGTGGAATGAGAAGAGACTCCTAACTTTCGGGCCGTGGGGTTACTAGATAATGGAGTTATCTCAGATATATTATTCTTATCAATTTGAGTCATCATAATGATTTAATCTCGGATTTTGTTGTAATCTTATTAGAAAGTTTTACGTATTTTTTTTAAAAAATAAAACCTCAAATTTAATCAATTAAAATATGAAAGAGTAAAAGGAGTACAAAAAAAGAAGAGGGGGGGATTAATGGAGTTTCAAATTGAGAATAGAGACGAATTAGCATTCAGCAGCAGCATTTCTTGCATCTCGCGAATATAATTATATATATGTATGTAAAGAGTAATGGGGGCGGCGGTATACACCCTCTTTTTAATATGAATATATATGGATATACTTTTTTAATAGGAAGAGAAAAAAACATATATTAACGTATATAATTATGGTGTCATCATTCTTTTCACTGGTTACGAGCTAGCAATATTTAGCTGCGTTCAGATCTTAACCAGAATTTAACACGTATGCTGCTGTTGGTCTTTTATTTAAAAGAGTGTGAGACCAGTTCATGATTCATGTAATGTATTCCACACAACATTTCTATGTGCTCGTGCAATACAGAGGTTTTTTCTAACATTAATATTAGATAAAGACTAGTGATGATAATTCATGAAGACGACTGGTAATAATAGAAAGTAGGAATAAAATATAGTTGGTGATTTAATATAAAGATGAATTATGTACTTTGTTTAAACCACTGCTGATATCACTGTAATAACTAGTTGTTTTACTCAACTGATATTAATAGTATATCTATCTATACACGATGAGTGGTGCTTATTTTAATTATTTCCTTTTTGGTATATGAATCTCAGGCCAAAAAAGAAAAGGAATATATCAAGAAATATAATTTTAAAAAAATCAAATTTAAATTCAAAAACGCTGGTCAAAGCTTGGTTAGAAGTTTGAAACCACTCATTAACTTAATAATTAATACACTCATTTTTTTTAATAAAGAGTTATAAATTCGAATTCAACTATAATCTCATATATATATTTTTATTTAAAAACTACGTATGTGTTATGGTAATTAAGGTTTATATATCACTGCATGTATTTTTTATTCAAAAATTTAAAATGCATGTCATTTTTTAACACAGGCAACAGCAAACACTAATAACTTGTTGACATGAAAGATAAAGAATAATTAATTCAAAATAAATATTTGACATACATGATCTCTTGTATGTTTGAGGAGAGCTAATTGTCGAAGACTTGGTGGACTACAGTTCGGGTTGACCAACTGCTCGAGTTACAAATAGAGATTACCAAAGCCCTTGCCTGAATCCTGTAAATACAAGCCACAAAGCCACGACGACCATAAAGCGCGGTCGACAAAATAAACAAAAAAAAAAAGGAAACGAAATGAGATACACGTCAGGTTAGTTGTGAATTTAATTTTAGAATGTCTTACTAATGGCCAGGGCCCTCAACCACGAGTTCACGAGTCCAACTAAAAATTACCACATACCGAATGAGTTCTAGATTTCAACGCTGAAAGCTGTAATGCTTCTCTTTATTACACACATAAATACATATGAGTATATGACCACCATCAAATAACCAAGTCAGGTATCCGTTATTTAATTAAAATTTATTTCAGTTTGAAGCACCAATTATAAGGTTTACAAGAATAAAGATGGAAATTACATCCCAGATCGAAATACCTATTAGAAACGACTTCTTTCCTTCACAAATTGAGGCACTGCATCAAGATCCAATTGTGGGGCATGAACCACAATGCTATGGAGAAGCAGCATAAAATAGTGCTTCACACATTTCTGGGTCACTGCCTGAAACTTGATTGCATCCGCGCAATTCCTGATTTCTGTTCTAAAAATCTCTTCAGTTTTGCCTCAGAGAAAGATTCACCCAACTAAATAAATGTATAAGTGAAAGCTAACAAGTTAAACTCTGTTAGTGATCTAAAAGAATCCTCAATCCAATAATACCCGCTATTTAGGATGTGGCCTTTCTGTACATGCTGTATTGACTCAACAATGAAATATCCTCAGGGGACAATGATAGTGCACCAGTACTCAAGTAATGTCGAGCAGCTCTCCTTGACCTACAAGTTATGTAAATTAACTTGGATTCAAGTAATTTTGTCAGCAGCAGTTATTAATAATTTGCAAGAAAAACAATCTACACCAAAAGCACAAACCTCTGTGTCCGTCCATTATCAACACCTTCTGAATGACGAGAAGCATCAGATCTTGATATGGTTCCCAATGCAGAAACATATTCATGAAATCCATCACCTTTCACGGCCAAGGATGCCCTTGGAGAAACTAGGGACTTAATTATGTTAACGAGACATGATATATTCTCACTGCATTGCGGATGCCTGAGGCCATGTATTGTAAAATGAATAATGACACAATGCAACTTATAGCATGTTTTGGTAATTTTACTTTGAATAAGTCAAACAGCAGAAGAGCATGCAAACCAAAAGATAGTACTACAAGTGATCACAAGCGAAAATGGCAAGTGATTTGTGATTTTCCATGTCAAAACTATCATTTATGCAAATAATAGGTCTTAGCATATCTTAAAAGAAGAGGTTGAAGGTATACCTTCCAAATGCTATCTCACATTTTTCTAAGCTCGCCTCTGAAACCTGTCCATCATTTAAGGTGTTACTCAGTCCAACCTCCTCTTCAACTGCCCACCGTAGTGCAGTCGTGTTAGTTTTAGAAGTCAACATCTGCCCTCCAAAATCTTCATTAGTCTGAGAAAATATGTTTGGTTGGCAAGAAGAAACATCTCTTGCATAAATGCAAAATCTATGTTGTGCCATAGTGGAAGCCATCTCCAACTGCTCATTATTTGATAGTTCCAAAGGGTCCTGCAAAAGTACATAATCAGCATCTAGAGTGCAGAGGAATAAAAGCAAAAGGAAATAATGATATACAATAACACTCACTTTGTTCCGGCAGTTGGAAAGCAAAAGGTCTGCTTCCGAAATCACATTGCACATCCCATAAGTATGTTCCAGAAGTTGAAGAGCATGTTTTGGCTCTGAAGCAACATACTCTTTGAGATCGTTGCAATTATCACGAAGTTTTTTCCACGACTCTTGTACTAATTTGTTAATTCTGAACTCCAATTTCTCCATAGGCTCGGACCTCCTCTTAAAATCTATGCGACTACACTCATCCATAACTTGAAACACTCCAGACACACTCACTACATCATTATCATCAAAATCATCCAAGCTCTCCTCTTCAGATAATTCTGCAATAGCATCACATGTTTCTGCTACATTGCAATAAGACACCGTTCTGGACAACACCTCTGTTTCATTATTAATTTCAGTTTCAGGAACGTAGGATGATTCTGGAACACATGAAATATCAACTGAGTTGCAAATCTGGTTTAGCCATGAGTTACCATTTCCCATTTCTGAGCAACAATGGTTTTCGACAAATTTTTCTGCTTCAAAACAGAGTGGCACATTAGTTAACAGGTTTGTATCATGTTCCATTTTTGGATAATCAGAAGGAAATCTACTATCATCTTCCAGGAACAAATTATTATCTTTAATCTTGTCTGAAGCAACATGATATCTATCATTTAAAATTTCATCTTCAGAATCTGAAGAAACGACTAGCTTTCGCTTTCTCATAATATTTTTCCCAGGTGGAGAATTCTGGTTTCTGGTGTCACTAGGAATTTCAGATGAGGCAATAAAAGAGTAATTCCTCCTTAACAACCTTTCCTTCTTAAGCTCTATGTAGTCTGTTCTTATATTCTGAATTCCCAATCTGTCTGTCGTGTCTTCATTGTCAACTTTCCTTGAATTTCCTTCCATTAGCAACAATGCCTCTGTGATCTCCTTCTGAATTAGCTCAGACAACTGGGATGGGAGATCCCAGGAAATAACCTTTGGTAATATTCGATGACTAGCATCAAGGTCAAATAGCAGTGGGCCATAATTCTTGTGCAACTTATCCACTGTGAAATGAAAAGAAAAATGATGAAAGGAAATCATATTTCCCAGACTTCTATGCATTACTGTTCAACAATCAAGGGCATTTTAAGAGCGATTTGTAAATCCTTCCGATGCATTCTCATATGTTTGGAAGGGATATACATTTATCAACAAAAATGAAGCCAAACAATACAATGGAATTTTTTATATAATTAAGACAAAAGTTTGTGGAGTTAATTAGGAGAAAATCATGCTAATGTTAAAGACATAGTAGTAAAAGCTTCCTAGAGTAAATCACATACAACCTGTTCACTTTCCAATATGAACATATAGAAGGCTGTTACTATGGGCTGACATTCACAAAGATTGATACTGTAGTACATCAATTGTGCAAGACCATGTGTAGACTGTATTGTCAATCTCAAAAGCTAGTAAAATAGTTATTTCAAAAGCTAGATAGCCAAGCATTTTTCCGCTACATTAAAGTTTGAACAATTCTGAACAAAAGCCAATTCGAATTTCAAAGAATTAAATGTTATGAGACTGCACTTATGCTACCTATGCCTTGAATTCCATTACCTGAGACTCCTCAGGATCAGACCTGCCAAAATTTGGAGATTACTGCAGGAAAATCTTTGAGATATGGGCATAAATACAATAAAGTGGTTGCATCTAGCCTTTTGCTAGAATGATTTGTTTTTTTCTGTTACACACACACACACACACACATATATATGTTCTAAGTAGAGTTTCGGGTATGGTACTTTCACAATGAAACTCTCAAGTTTGGTTGTGGTTGCAACTCGAGCAAGAATAGGATTTAAGTATATCATTAAAAATTTTTAATTTTCACAAATGTTCTCATCTTCTTCCTGACTTTATTATTTGAATTATTTCTTCTAGACATAGACATTAACTAGGTAAAAATGACAATACTTGATCAACTGCCCCTGGTCAATTTTTCTGAAAATGGTGTCACCAAAACAAAAAATTGTTTTTTAAAATGAACAAGAATGCTAAATCAACTTTCGATAGTTGATGTACCATGTAGTCATCCAGCTAGCAGATTTTCAAATGCTTAAATGATGTCCAGCAACCTATAATTTTGCAGTGACTTGTTTAATCTTTTGAGATAATACCAACAAATTTCATAACTTTAGTGTGCAGCAGAATAATTAACTTAATTGTGACTTCTAGTTTCTCTAATACTTTACATTACTTCCCTTAGGAAACATTACCCAAACTTAGACAAGCTACAAACCTCAACGCACTTTCGTAGATTTGATAACAAAACATCAGGAAAAAGTAATACACATGCAGGGGAACTATGAGTCTCATTGTGATAAACCTGTTCTATGTCTTCTACTCTGGCACCAAAACTGCAAGTGCATGATAGTTTTCCGAATATCCCCTTGATAATATTCACTGAGCTGCTCTATTAAATGAGGCTGAATGTCAATTTTCTCTGCAGCACAAATCTATGGAGAAACAGCCAAATCAACAAAGGCGACAAATTCCCATAAGCAGATCTAATTATAAAAGTACTATAAGTGCATACTTTAGAAAGATGGCAAAGTAGTTCCTTCGATGATGGCATGGAAAAGGATAATTCTAGCCTGTCTAAATTGTCTGGCAGAACGGGATTCTTATCTGTGAATTCCACAATAATTTAAGTAATGGGAATATGAAGACCAACCAAAATGGCAAGAGGAAAAGAAAATATTCCAGACTAACAGTTCTTACCATTGCTAGTCAATATTAGAGGTCCCTTGGCTCTCTCTGCAATTTGTTTTATGGCAGCAACAAAACCCCGATCATCCTGAAAAGAAATATCCACATCCTCAACGATAATTAAGGGCCTCACTTTGGTCTGATTGTTTCCATTTTCACTCTCCATGCATAAAATTTTCCCATATGTTCTGCTGGCACCATGATTTTCTTCCTTATCTAATCTTGGAATCAGTTCAGTGACCTTGTTATCATCCTCATATACTGCTTCGTCATTGACGACTTGAGCAGATTCTATGGTATTATATGAATCAACAGCATTTTCCAACGACCTGGAATAAGTATCTTGTCATGTAGGATATTTCTATTCTAAAAGCTTTCCAAGTATATTTATGATTAGTTGCAAAAAGGAATAAATGAAATGTTCAACAGATGAAGAAAATTGTTCTTTTGTATACAAAGTGACGAACCTTGTAAGGCAATGGGATTCCAAAGCCTCTCCAAATTTCTGCTTCACAGCAGGTCCATTACGACACTCTGATGCATTAGACTGAAATAGGTACATTAAAAAGATATTATTATTTCCTTACAGATTGTTCTTGTCATGTCGAACTACTGAATTTGAAGAGGAGAACGGTTTGATAAATAAGCCTATCAGTCATTTAGCTGCATGCAAGTATCCATTCTAACATCTGTGCAGAATAGTGGATAAGGCAATCATGCATTGTAAGATTGCTTCATAAAAAATATTAGATGTAGAAGAAATTCTTCAGTTTTTCTTTTGCAGCAAAAACCGTCAAAGTATTCAAGACATCTTTCTCCAGCTGATTCATAAACAAGTCAGATCATATAAAGATGTTGTTATTGTATAAACAGTGAAAAGGGCAGTTTCATGCCATAGGGGCTTCGGAAGAGTCCTTTTTGTTTCGCCTTTCCTTGCATAGTTAATCATACTTGCTGAACATCAGTGAGTTCCCAAATTTTAAACTCAGTCTTTCAGTTGCAAGTTGTGAATTCATGCAAGAACAGGACAGCAAGGAGGAAATTCAACAAAAAACTCATAATAACTACCATGAAAAAGATTAACAAAACTAATTATAGAGATTATAGTGCTGGTCAACAAATTTGGCAAAAAAGTTTGAAATAACTACATAGATTATAGTACCTCCAGAATTCTAAACCCTTGCTCCCTTGCACAAGCATGGATAGCCGCAGACTTCCCACTCTGTGATAAGAGAAATATGTTTCAACCATGATATAAACCAAAGGCACAACAATGAAATGAAAGCTTCCATTTCAGCATGGTGCATCTACAACCATTATATGGATTAAAAAGGAAAAGCTCCAGGTATTACAAGTGCAATGGCAAAAAATTGCTGTATCTTCTCCCACTACAATTTACCTTAGAATGCAATTCCATGTGACACGCGGCAGAAATGAAGTGAATGAAATAGTGATGCTCCTTTGAGAATTATCAAAAAATGTGACACCAAAAGCTGATACATACATATTTGACAAAGAGGCATGGGCCAAAAAAAGATATATAGATGGTTTTTTTATCTTTCATATAGATGGACGTCTTTTCCAAATCCTGACATGTAAACATACTTGAACTATAGCTAAAATAGATAACTCCAAAAATAGGAAAACAATATGAATTAAAATCCAATATCATAAATAATAAAAATTGATGTTTAAGTATTGAGAAAATATAGCCAGACAAATCTAAATTTTGCATGCATAATGAGACTCCTGATTCTTTATGAAACATCAAAATATCAAAATTCTTGAGTTCAAGAGAAGCACAAAGAGAATTCAATTCAAATGCCTAGGAGTCAGCTAAAAATTCAACAAATGCCAAAGAAACCACCAATTTGCAAGGATATTAATGAGGATGAGTAAAACATCAGGATGTGATAATATGCATAGTAATTGGTTTAGCTAAAATATAGCAAAAAATAAAATATGCTATAAAATAGCTAAAATATGTTTTCACGCACCCCTACTGGTCCTGTAACTAATAGGACATTTTTCAGGTTATCCCATTCATCTACATTTGCTGAATCAGAGTCATAACCATTGTAAATGTAATCACTATCTCCTGTGTTGTGCTTATCACCATTGCTGGAATCTTCCATTGCTCGAAAACCTTGTTCATGCCAAAGACGTAGCCACTCATTCATAGACCTCACAGATTCAGCATTCCCACAAACCTGTAGGAAATGGTTTAGTGAAAAGAAAAAAGATAAGGAATAAAATAGAAGATAATTTCTTGATTGTCTCTAACAGGATAATAGCAAAAAATAGACAAGTTCAATGTAATAAAGCTGATCCAGATAAATGACCTCTGAGGACTTCTTTGGCTGGTACTTATCTGTCCATAAGATTTCCTCAAGCTGATTACTGCCAACCAATACAGTAAGGGCATCAGTCTGCAAATCCAGCAAGGTAATCATAGAACTACACTGCCAAAATCTATTGAATTCTATATGGTGAAGTGCATAAAACCACTGAAATGTGCCCACCATAGTTCCAGGAGATAAGAACAACTTGAGACATGCAGCACGAAAATGCTTACATAAAATAATGGTACAAAAAATAAGAACTACATGTCAGTTATATAGTTGTTTGCTTTGAACAAGCAATGCTGAGAATGGTTAAAGCATGACAAATTTATGAGGGATGGACTTATTCTAAGCCTACTTACAATAATGGGAAGAATCCATGAAGACATATAGGATAACGAAAATTTAACATATTTACCATGTAGTAAGCCAAAAAATGACATCAAACATATTATGGAAAAGGCAAGGTTTTCAAGCATTAATTACAGTTTTAATGAAGAAGACTTCCCTGAATTACTAATAAGATGCCACTCATTTGATAAGAGCAGGCGATGATTCCATCGAAGTTAAGTTATCACAATAATATGTTTCCTTCTTTCAGCAGCATAGGGATTGGAAACAAGCATGCAAATTTAAAAAATTCCTAACCTTTCATCAAAGAATATGTTTAGCCTTTCACTATCTGGTTTTATTGCATCATCAGTATGTCCTGATAAGAAGACAACTTCATCTACCTTCAAAGGCTGCCAATAAAATGACCATTGTGACTCAAAAGAATGGATAATGTGCTATTATTAAACTACTACACCCAATAGAGAATCAAGCAGTGGATACGAAAGAAAAAAGAGAAGTGCAGAATAAATTACACATTACAGAATGTTGTAATATGTACCCATTCTGATTCACCTAAGAGCTGACAGCATGCCACCTGCTCATCGACTATCGTGGTAGGGGCTATTGGCAATTTCTCAAAAGAATCTTGTTGGATAAGGCATGGATTCCCCACCTTTTCTTGAGCAACTGTTACATCAGATGGATCTAACATACTAGGAAAACCATTAGAAATGAAAGCATTGACAAGGTCCTTCAAGACCAATGTGAATGAACCTTCTAAACCACAAGTTGTGTCAATACGGGTTTTCTCACAAAATGTCCAATTCTTCCAATCAATGGATGTAACATCATCCTGCAAAGAAGACAACATTCGGTCTCGGATTTAAAAGAAAAAGAAGGAATAAGTATGCATGTTGAAGTCAAAACATTAAATGCAAAGCAGACCCAATAATACGATACCTGCATTTTTTCGAATACATGAATAGGACCTATAAGAAAGTTTTTATCCTTTTTCTCAACTAGGTGATTACTCTCGGTTTCAGATACCTCCTGGATTTTTTTCCCTGTTTTCCGTGATGAGAAAAATGGATGCATTTGCTTTCCCGCAAACAGCCGTGAATTTTCCTGATAAAGCCAGAAAAAAAAACATAGATTTTACAAATTTTATTTACACCATATAGTGGAAGTTAACAGTAGAATATATGCTTCAAGGTCTTTAATTTTACGTCACAATGTTTTGTTTTCATACCTTCCTGATTCACACCTTCCACATAATCTATGCAGAACTGCTATATATATTAAGTCGTATATACTTTTGAAACCAGGCTTTCATGTACTAGCTTTCTAAAGCACCGAAAACACTTAGAGAAGTACGCACATTAGGAAACAGACAACATCCATATCCAACAAAAGGATGTACAGCAAAAAGATTATTCAATGGAGAGAAAGTAACAGAACTAAGACAAAGCAAAAAAACCAAAACCACTTACCTCGGCTCTCAATTTTGCCTCCAGCCGCAAATTAGGGATTGGAGTTGATAGATCCTCATTCTCAATCGAATTAGCTGTTATGCTCCCATTGTTTGTACCATTTTTCTTGGGCGTTATCTTCGCAGGAGATTTCTTCATCTGATGATCAAACACAGGAAAATTGTTGACCGAGAGGAATCTCGACTAGAAGATAACAGAATCCATACTAAATTCACATCAAATTGTTACTCAAATTCCCAAGATTAATCAAGCTCGTCTCAACGACATTAAGCAAATATAAGTTTAAACAGTCACGGTTAATCATAAATTGAAGCAACTAAGAGCATATAACTAACCTTCTTAGAAGCTCCATCCTGCGGTGTACTCTTTCCCTTTCGCCTTCTCGTCTTCTTGCCTTGGCTCCCGCAGTACTCCTCGTCTTCACTGTTCCTATTTTCCTCATTACAATTATCACATTTCTGATCGCCCGTGGATTCAACTTCTGGAGGTCTATGTGGGAACAGTGTTGACTGGACGAGTCTGCGGCGAACACTTCTCCGTTCCATTTGATTAGAGCCAATCACCGTCACCTGCCCACCTTCCTCGGCTAATTTTTCCATTGTTTATTTAATTAAAGTTCTGTTCCGTCAATTAGGGATTAGGCAATTTTTGGAATTTTGGTTTTGAAGCAGTGAGAAGAAAGTAAGTCCAGAGCGAACCTGATCTGGATTCGGGGAGAGAACCATGGAGGGAATGAAGATTTTGTTCCCGCCTTGTAAAGGGTTTAGGTCAAAGTAATTCGTGCCATGGTTGGGTAACTTAAACGCGATTTTACCATGCGTTTTGGTTAACAATGAACTTATCTGTCGTCTGTTTGAAATATTTAATTGGTCTCCCGCTATAAATTTTAAATATATATATTATATAATTTTCAGTAAAACGATTATAATTCTCATCAGACGAATATTTTTAAATATTTATTAAAATTTAAAAATATTTAATTTAAAATATATTTATTTTTTTATCGAGCTCGTCATCACTGATATCATATACAATTTTATTTTTTGTTTAATAGGTGTGCTAATAATTGTCAATTAATTTATAGTATATAATATTTTTATTTTTTTATAAAAAATTATTTAATGAATAATAAAAGTACACAAAAACAACAATTATTCTATTTGTAATATATTTTTTATTATGTATAAGCTATGATATGGGTAATTGATTAAAAATCAATTTAAACTAAACCAATAGTGCATAAATGAATTAATTATTAATGATATTATAAGTTAAACACTCTCGTAATCACGTTTTAAAAAGTTACTTATTATTAACTTTTACCTTTCCTCAAGAGCAATATTGTTGATTTAATTAAAATTTAGATCCTCCTTGATAATTTTAAAAATTTGAACTTCTGTCTCTGATAAATCCTGCATTTTAATTTTATTATTGTTTCTGATTTCTTTTAATATTTTCTACTACTCTATTCTTTAAAATAATTTTAAAAAAATTCATCTTCCAACTATAATTTAAATTAAATTAGTTTTATTTTATTAAATAATGTAATGTTTATTGTAATATTATTACATTAAAAATATAATTAACTACAAATATAAAAGTAATAACTCAAATAAAAAGGGGATTGTGCATTTATTTAAGTTATACTTTTAATATATAAATATAAATAAATAACTTATAGGAAAAAATATAATAACTACAAAATAACATGATATAAGCACCGCAGTAACTTCGACTTTTTCCGGAAGGATGTAGGAAGTTCCAACCCCTCAGGGACATGCACGTGACTTCAGTACGAGACAGTGTAGGTTACGCGCCAAGCTGTCGAGTGGAAGAACGTACGACGTCCGAACAGCAAGAAAACCAGAAATTCTTTTCCTCCAGACCAGAAAAGAAAAAGCAAGGGCGGACGTAGTGGCATCAAAAGTGGGGTACAACATATATGCAGCCATTCTCAAAAAGCAATAGAACGAAATGACTAAAACACCCTTCTTTTAACAAGATAAACTGAAAACGGTTGTCGTTTTATGGGCTTCGCTGGTGTACGTTATGGTGAAACGACGTCGTACTGGATGAGGAACACTTTTGAAGAAGTGGGAAACGCAGGATTTGGAGAGGACAAAATGGTCCAATGAAAAAGTTGTTCGTCTCGAAGATCGAAATTCTGACCTGTGTCTGTTCACTCTATGCTACGCATCTGTCTCTTACCTGAGCTCCACTCGTTTGAAAAAAGAAAAAGACCTTTACCTATCTCTCTCTTCTCACCGACTGTAACTGTTGGTGAGCGCCGGGCGAAGGAGAAGTTAGCCGAACCCTAAGCTTTAATCTTCGCTTGAAAATCTATCTGAGTTCCTAAAGGTCCCAAAAGATCAGTTTTAACTGTCTTAGATCCTTGATCTAGTGTCCCTCTCTTCATAGATATTGTAACTGTCAGCACATTGTTGAGACGACCGAGAAGAAACAGAAAAAGGAAACCCTAGAAACCTTGAAGACCCAGTTTGTTTTCTTTCAAATACTAAACCAGCTGAAAAAACCCATAATTTCTTGGGGTTGAGTTTTCAAATTCTCCCCCAATCCCCCCACCCCCACGGCGGAAAAACCCATATTTTTCGTTTTGGTCGTAGCAAAACAAACGTCTCTCGCACCTTCGTTTTCTCTTTCTCTCTCCCCTGTTTCCCTGTTTCCAGTGAAGAGGGACGAAGCAAACATAAAGCATAAAATTTCCTCCAAGAAAATGAAAAACCACAAAGCACCCGTCATTATCTTCTTCATTCTGGCAAATGTAGCTGCTACAGTGACTTCGAAGTCCACAATCGAGCCATGCTCGAACTCCGATTCCTGCAACGCCATGCTCGGCTACACTCTCTACACGGACCTCAAAGTCTCGGAGGTAGCCTCCCTCTTCCAGGTGGACCCAATCGCCATCCTCACCGCAAATGCCATCGACATTTCTTACCCCGATGTCGAAAACCACATCCTTCCGTCTCAGCTCTTCCTAAAGGTTCCTGTCAATTGCTCCTGCGTGGACGGTATTCGCAAATCCGTCTCGACCCGCTACAAGACCCGCCCATCGGATACTCTTTCAACTATAGCAGATTATGTTTACTCGGGTTTGGTCTCAGCGGACCAGATCAGAGAGGCCAATTCTATTTCGGACCCTTCTGTTCTTGACGTGGGGCAGATTCTCTTGGTGCCTCTGCCCTGTACTTGCTTCAACGGGACTGATAATTCTTTGCCGGCGATTTATATGTCTTACGTGGTTCAACCTATGGATACCTTGGCGGGAATCGCTGCCAGGTATACGACTACGCTTACGGATTTGATGAATGTCAATGCCATGGGGAGTACTGCTATTAAGGCCGGGGACATTCTTGCTGTTCCGTTGTCAGGTATCCTGTGGATTTGATTTTGATTTTGATTTTGAATGCCAGGTGTTTTATGGCGGTATTGACTGATAAGGAAAATAAATAAATTGCTCTCTGTTGTTCATAAAACTATGTACTTTGTTGAGATTAGAAAAATGGTGCTGTTAATTTGTTTCCTCCTATATTTGGGTATGTCTTCTTTTTTTTCAATTAGCAGGTTTTTTTTAACTACTCTTGCAAATAAAGATGTTGAATTTGAGTATCTACAATTGCTAAGTCTAAATTTGTTAAGGCTAATGCCTATACAGAAACTTAGGCGATTTTTGTTAGGCTAAAAATGTTTTCTAGCTTTTCTATATGCATTTTGGAATAAGGATAGAGAAAATGACAAATGATAGAATTTGAATATTTTAAAATGTTGGTTTTAGGAGTTTCGACGACCTCTTTTCTTTATGTTTGAGAATTCCACAAACACGCATCTCTTATATAATTAAACACGTATGAACTTCAAAAATGGAAACCAAAAGATGCTTTAATCTATATCGAAGCTTGGTTTCTTTGGTTCTAGAGTTTTTCCTGTCAAAATGTTTGGTTCTAACTTTGGGACATTGTTTGAAGGTTAAGAATTTTGTTTTTCTGTATTTCAGCTTGTGCTTCTAGCTTTCCAAGATATGCCTCTGATTTTGGACTGATTGTACCAAATGGGAGCTATGCTATAACTGCAAGCCACTGTGTGCAATGTAGTTGTGGGCCTGGAAACCGAAAGTAATTCCCTTGCCTTGCTCCAAATTGCGGTTCATTAATGGGTTAACTCTAGTAATTTTAAAGCTTTTGTATTTTTATTTTAAAATTATGTATGCCAATCTGGAGTTTAATCAGTTTCCTTTTGTTCTTTGAGTCAGCTTGTACTGCACGCCTGCTTCTTTGGCAGTTTCTTGTTCAAGCATGCAGTGTAAAAACAGTAACCTCATGGTTGGGAATGTTACGGTGCAGCAGACGAGTGCTGGATGCAATGTTACTACTTGCAGTTATGATGGTTTTGTTAATGGCTCCATAGCGACCATGTATGATGCATCTTTCTCTAAAGTGTATTCGTGATTTGACTTTTATCTGACACTTGATCCCTTATTCTCGTCTTTGTTTATGCTGCAGGTTGTCTACATCTCTTCAACCTCGATGCCCAGGTAAAATTTAATTAAAAGCTCTTGCACTTTTGTTTTTGGTGCAGTTGGAGGAAGATGAAATGTTCCTCTCCTGGTTAGCTTTAGAAAAAAACCTATATTCACTTATTCATAAAAATATTAAGAGTTGCATGTTCGTGAAATAGTTAACGCACAACAACATAGTTTCTGGAGAATACTAAAAACATTCATCCTGAACTATTTCTTTTCATGATTCATATGCGAAGCAAAATCAACAGATAACATAGAACTTCATCGTAAGTCTTCCTGATGATTTCCTTCCTAAAAATGATGCAGGACCTCAGCAGTTTCCTCCACTCGTAGCTCCACCTACGACAGTAAGCAGGGACTCAACATATGCACCGGCACCTGCGCCTGAGTCAGCTGGTGCTGGGACGACGCTGCCACACCCATCAGTAGTCCCAGGAGGTAGGTCGTTTCCTGGACTTGGCCCAGCGGCCAATAGCCCTATAGGGAGTCTTTCCGATGCTTGCTCATTGATTAATTCATTGGCCACTTTACCGGGTGCACTTGCCTTGTATTTCTTTGTCGAATTTATGATGTCCCGCAACTTGTAGTTCTGTGCTTGCAACCGTTGTGAGTAAGATGGTGGGGGGTTCTGTTATTTATGCATTGTCGCTTGGTTTTGATCAGTCTCAGAGGTGTATTGTATGTAATCTTTTATATTTTTTACAATCTTAAACTGATGCGGCCAATTTCTTGTACTTTTTAATGGAATCTTATTTTGCTTCACCCAGATTTGCATTACTGGATATACTATGAGTTTGTCTGTTTGTGGAAATTCATCCCTCTTCATTATTATTTGGAGTCTCTGAAAGTGCATGGCCAATTCTGCTTTTGCCAGTACAGAAACTTCAACTATCTATAAATTGCATCTTCGGATGGTTTGTAAGGCAAAATTCCTTGGGCAAAATTCCTTCTACTTTTTTTCTTTTTTGGGTTATACGATGGTAAATCAATGAGAAATTGAAATTACTACTGCCCACGGTAAGTTAATCCATTTCTTTCACTTTTCTATTATTGTATTCTTGGCTGTGTTGTAGGGACCTTCTTTTTAAGGACAAAAAATAATGATTTGATATTCATATTATTATTTTTTGTTTAAATTAATTTTTATATCCATTTTTGATTAAATTGGTCTTTATATTTTTTTAAAAAATTTAATTTAGTCAATTTTTTTTAACTTACTAATCATCTCGTTCACTTATTAAATTTAAGAACGCATGGTATTTTTTTATTAGTTTCGGTGTAAATTGATATTACGCGATATCTGATATTATGTTAAAAAAATTTAATGTGAACTGATTAAAAATTAAAAAGAATATAAAAATTAATAACATAAGCTCCCCGTGTGATACTTCGCTAAACACTTTTGCTCCATCTCCAACACTATTTGAAATTACCTTGTCAATCATTTAGTGAGTTTGCTTTGCCAATGTGCAACAAATGATGAGTGCTCTCCTTCTCTTTATGCTTCTTATTCGAAATTAGGTCTATGTATTAATTTTTTAAAAAAAAAACTCAATTTCTTCGCTCTATATTTATTAGAGTTTTCATTTTTTTTATAAGAATGACGAGACTAAATTGAAAGATCGCTGTTGTGTATTTTGTAATAGTAAAAATGTAACGGCCCCGGAAATTTAAAATGAAATGTATATTAAAAATATCAAATGCGGAAGCGAAGTCAAAAATTCGATTAACATTCCTTACACTAAAACCAAAAACGTGCTCACAAAATATAAAAGATCAAACTACCTAAAGAAGAAACTTGAAAGTAAAAGCTACGAATATGACTATGGAGTCTTTAGGCGTCCCATTCGTCGTCATCCTGCGGAACCGGCTCGGGAACGATGTCTTCCTGATCTGAAATGATTAAATAAGGAATGAGCTACACTAGTCCAATAAAGACATCACGATATCTCACCGTCACGGAGGTAAAGGTGGGTAGAAAACACAAAAAGACCAATTGAGCATAATTTACAACAAATTCTTTTATCAATAATAAATCCTTCACCATCCACTTACCTCGGTGAAATCCATAAAACAGTATACGAAAGCAATAACATTATCATCATCATGAAATCATATATGAACTGTATAACATAATACTTATCAAGCCTTTTGTAATTCAATCGTTACACAACATATTTTCCTCATTTACCAGCCCACTAGTATCCATGGGGATCCATAGGGGTCCCGCTATCCGTTAACCTTTAACACTTGAAATCAGATTCCAGGGTCGTCCCCATACCCCATCCGGTATGGGCGCCAAAACTATAAACCTCATTACCCCGTCCGGTATGAGGGTGAAACGGGCCGTCCACATACCCCGTCCGGTATGGGCGCCAAAACACATAAGATCTACATACCCCGTCCGGTATGGGAGACCACAATCCTGGTAGGGTTCCCTACGGACCCGGTCCGTCCACCATCTCCCAGGATATCTAGTCAGGCTGACCACATTATACAATTACCCATTTACATAATCTTTCATTCTCTTTTCCATCAGACAGCATTATCAATCACATACAAACAAGCAAAACGGTAACTTATGCCAAACAGACAACATACAGCATCAATATCCCAGTCATTCAATCCATAATCAGTAACACAGTAAAATATGCACACGAAACTATAAAATGAAAACATCAAACCTCATATTGCATTTAAAACTGTAAAACAGGCCAAATGACAGTTAACCGACAAACACACTAGACTCGGGCTCCATTAGCGACCTTAAGCAATTTCACACATTCGTTGGTTCAAGAAATACCATTTTATGATCATTGAACTTTAATACCGTGATAGGAAATATGGTGAGGGATCCTTACTCGTTTCGGGGTCCGAACACGGCTTCACAGTGCGCCTACAAGCTGTTCCTAATTTTTCCTGAATTTTTCCCGAGGAACTGAAACGCACTACTAGTACCTGCACGTGTTCCAAAAAATCCCAAATTAGGCCCAGGGCCCCTTTTTGGCCAATATCACAATTCCGGCACGGCGGCGGCGATTCGCTTCGGTTTGGCCGTTTTCGGCCACACTTGCATCGATCCTTGCGATCAAACAACCCTAGGGCCCTCGGGGGGCCAAAAAATTACGGAAAACCGAAGCTTACCGGCGGCGGTGCTCTCGGGTGCGGCGGCTCTCCGGTGAAGTTCGTGTTTTGGTGATTCGACTTCGATCAACCTGTATAGGAAAGAATGGTAATCACGATGATATAAAAATTGCATTAAACGGAGGCCGGGAAGGGCCTCATCGGAGGCAAAAACCGAGAAGGGGCGCGGCGGCGCCGTTGGGTTTCGACCGTATTTTCTGGCCGTTTGGCCGAGATTTTGGCTCCGATTTGGCCACAGGGGAAATCAGCGTGGAAAAACGAGTCGGGGGTATGAAATTTACCTCGATCAGCAGTCGGAAATCTCCCCGGTGCGGCAGCGGGTGGCGGCGGCCGGCGTCTCCGGCGTCTGGTTCGTCTTCTCCGGCGAGGGGCAGGCGGCTAGGGTTTTTGTGGTCTGGTGTGGGGGTTCTATTTATACCCTTTTGCCTTTTGATCTCAGCCATCCATTTTGTTTTGATCTGGGCCGTCCGTACGCACGCTTGATCTGGGCCGTCCGATAGCGCGTACGCGGATCGCCAACGTGGCCCGTTCCCAGTCGACGTGGTTTTGCCACGTGGCAGGTCCTGGTGACGTGGCTGCTGATGTAGCCCTTTTTTTTTTTTCCTTCTTCAATTTCCCGGGCGCTACAAAAAACACATACATGGAAGACACGAGGATAAGTGATATCATGCTATATGTGATGGGTGGTGACACCGCATAATTAGTGGGAGTCTAGTGTTGCAAAATACGAAGAGATATGCAAAGACAACTGATTTAAAGCGTTGATTAGTGATTTATCATTTATTAGATAATTAATTGTGAGGTTAGGTGAGTTGTTTGATAAAAAATAAGACAAATGAAAAAGTATGACAAAGTAAAGAGATAATACAAATCTTATGATTTATATTACCTAGTTTTTTATTTTTTAGACCGATTTAAATTTATTAATATTATTTTTTAATATAATGATATATCACGTAATTATTTATTTACAGATTGATCAATTAGAATGTATTATATATTATTATACACGTGATACTATTAAATTAAAAAAAAACTAAAAGTATAAAAATAATTTAATGAAAAATTGTGATAGTAACTAATTTAAAAAAAATAATAATATAAAGACAAAATTATTATACTTTGATCATATTTTGACTGATTTTGTAAAAATTGAATAACATATTGTAAATAGTATATAAAATATATGAAAATGACGTATTATAACTATATATTACAATCAAATGTTACATCATAATTCTTTGATACTAATTCTAATTTTTTTTATTATATTTTTGTAATTATAAATAACTTTAGATTATTTATATAAAAGTAATGACATTTTTTATTGTTGATTTAATCATTAAAGTTTTCTTAGTATAAATTAAACATTTGGTTCATGTTAGTATCTGATTATTCATAATTATTCTATTTTAATTATCTTCTTAAATCAACATTATTTATTATCATTAAAATTTCGAACAATGATTAAAAATAAAATATTCCAAAACAAAATCCAATGTAGATGTCCGAGAACCAATTTGTGCTAAAAAAAAAATTATTTTTATTGATTTTGAAGGCAATAATAGAAAGAGAAAATTCAGTTCAATAATGGGCTCAGCCAACAAACAGTCCAGATTAATTCTGCTCCTGGATTTATATATCCGGGACTGGGACTGGACCAATTCCCGCCAAATGAATCTCCAAGGGACAAATCTATTAAACAAGCTACACAGCTAGCGTTTTCGTCAACAGCTCGCGGATGGCTTCAATGTCTTGTAAGCTCTATTCAGGTATGCGTTTCTTCCTCTGTCTCATTGCGTGCATTTATGTTTATATGGAGTGTGTATATATATGTTAGTGTATGTCTTGTTTGTTTGGTTGATGATCTTCCTATTTTATGTGTTTGTTTTGCAGATGATGTTAGTCTGCTGGTCGTGCTGCTTGACACAAATCCCTTTTTCTGGAGTTCTTCTTCGCTCTCTTTCCATCAATTTCTCTCTCACGTAATCTTTCTATCTCGCGTTGAAAGAAGAGAAAAACCCTAATCTACACCAATGTGAATCCTAATTGTATGTTTGCATATGTGGAAATCGTTGAATAATCGAACGCCTTAAAAGACCCCAAGTAATCAACCGGGAAAAAAAATCATATTGATTGAACTTAGTTGAGGCTGAGCTGTGTTACTAGTTGATTATTATAACGACATGTTTAAAATGCCATCGAAATTAACGAGCAAACTCCTTTTCCTTTTTATTACATTTAAGTGTTTCTCCATTTTATTCTCATTTCCAATGTGATTGTGGCAACTTACTAGCAGCATATTTTTTTCTTTTAAGCAAAAATATGGTTCTCATGTTTGAATCACGTACAGGTACTTGCTTTTTTGAACTCAGTTTTGTGCTTAAATCAATTGAACCAAGTCGTTGTTATTGCTACTGGATATAATTCCTGTGATTATATTTATGATTCGTCTTTGGCTTCGAACCGGACCTATGAGAGTGGGGGAATGCCTGCTATCTTTGCCGGCTTGTTGCAAAAATTGGAAGAATTTGTGATGAAGGACGAGACATTGAGCAAGGAAGAGCCAGAGGGGAGGATAGCGTCGTCCCTATTGTCAGGGTCATTATCAATGGCTCTTTGTTGTATCCTTGAATTGGTGCTTGAATTTATTGCTTCTTTCCGACAAGAAGAACAGTTTTCTGTTTTCCTTTTGGGTGTTAAATCTGTTTGCAACATGCTTGGTCTTCAGGGAACTGAATGACTGTTATACCATGTAGCATTCAAAGGCAGTAACTTAACTTGGAATTTTGACGTTTCTTCTAATATTGATCCATTTTAGCAACTGGATAATTATCATAAAGAAAATGGGGTAGCTTTTGGAGTTAATGAAATGATATTCTTGCAAGCTTTTATTTTGTTTTTGATGATAGTTAGTTTATCCAAGCACCATAAATGCTCAGGGAGTTGTATGTGAAATGGGAGTGCAGTTTTCACTCTTTTTTTTGTGAAAGTTTTGAAGTGGATCTTAAATACATTGTTTGATCTGACTTCATGAATAGATATACAGAGAGTTTTTCGTTCTGGACCACTCCATCCTCAACCCAGAGTGAGTATTCATATATTATCAAAATTGATCTCCTTAGTTAATCAAGCTCACTTGGTCTGTTGGCCAAACATCAGTATCCCTACCTTAATGAAATCAAGAGTGTAGGTCGGACTCTGCCAGGGGTACCCCCCTCCCTCCATACTCTAGGGAGTACACTAATAACGTACTTTTGACCAAGTTAAAAGAAAATATTGTCTATTTTTTTTAGTAAACTTTCTCTACAACTTCATTGGTTGAAGGGGCCTTCTTGAATCATAATTTCGAGTGTCATAACTTTATGCTTTTCCTTTTCCTCCTTTTTATTGTGCATTTTCTACAAAATGCAAAATGGTAATGGTACTGATATATTATTGCAGATTTTATGCTTGCAGGGATCTCCAGATGGACCTGAACAGTATGTACTAGCCGTTGTGATGCTTTTGAATTATTTACCTTTCTTTCGTGTTGGTTTTATTACAAAGATTTTGTTCTCTTCAGGTATGTTTCAGTCATGAATTCTATATTCTCTGCCCAGCACTCCATGGTACTCAACATTGCATTTAACTTTTAACTCTTTTCTAATCTGATATTGTTTACCAAATTTCTTATTGTAAATACTTGACTGCTGTGTTATTGCATTAGATTTTATTGGCAGAATTGTTGGTTATAAGTGATTGGATCAGTTTTGGAACTTAGATTTGTTATTCTTGAATTTTTTCCTTCATACCTTTCCTAATGGGAATAATAATATATAAGGATCTAATTTGCATCTCATGGTAACAGCTAGTAATCATTCCTTGTTATATTCATGTATGCATATAGATATGGTTTTATCTGTGTAAAATTGTTGCATGCTCATATCTCTCATTGTTTATGTTAAGGTTAGTACAGGTAATTAACTTCTTGTCTTTCTTACTGAGATGGCTTTCTAAAGAAAGTTTGCCGACATGTGGGTTTTAGATGGTCATAACATTTTTCTTTGTTTGCCATAATTGTATTCAAGCAGTTTGTCTAAACTCCTATTTTTTTAGTTGAGTTGAGGTTATGAGATAGTCTAGCTAAATGTTCTCTCTAAGTAGAATATGGCTGTTGGATGGAACTTTGTATTGGTCATATGAAGTTAGCAAGTTTAGTGAGATGATTTGATCACTAATATTTTAGAATATCTTAAAGTTCTGCATGCAGATATAGCAAGGAGTTAATTAGTGTAACTGTGTTGTTTTTTGCAAGGTTTTAGTTAGTTTCAGATATTTTAATACATTAATTTATTTCTATTATTGTTGTTGATGTTTTCTTCTTACTATTGTTATGACTATTGTTTTTATTGTTATTTGAATTCATAGCCTTTGCGAGCTGAGAATTTTTAGCCTCTTGCTAATTGGCATGCTTTGACAGGTTCCTATAGATTCTTGTTATATAGGTCCTCAGAATTCTGCTTTCTTGCAGCAGGTAATAAATGTATTCTTATCTCCCAAAAAAAAAGAAAAATGTATACATATTCTAGTAGTAGTTCTATTGATTGCTTCTGATGCAAGAGTAACAGGCTTCCTATATAACTGGTGGTGTACATCACAAACCTCAACAATTGGATGGCTTGTTTCAATATCTCACGGTATGTTCTTCACTTGAGTAGACAATATGGAACCATTTTTATGATACCAAAATTTTCTGTTGTCTCCAGCTATGATATCTGAATAAATTGTGAAACTTTTGAAGGTTATCCACCAAGGTTCGAAATTCTTTCCATCCCTAAAAATATTAAGCAACTTATTTTTTTTAAAATATTAAACAACTTATGAAAAAGCTTTTTGGTTTAGATAACAATCTTCTACTGTTAGAACTGTATATCCTTGAGCAAAGCCCTTCAGATTTAATTGCACCTCCTTCTCAAAAAAAATTTGGTGGAGGATATGAGCAGGGTTAAATCTCCTGTTATAAAAGATTAAAAGGTAGATTTATTCCATAAGAGAAGGGAAAGATAAAGGTCTTCAAGGTACAATTGGTTCCAAAACCCCAATCCTTTGGTTCAAGTATCACCCGATCTCCAATGAGGAAGTTTTAGGGGACATCTTAGAAATTTTGGTTTATACCTGTCACATTTCTTCCTTTTCCATACAGGTGGCACACTTTGCTAACTTCTGATTGATATATGTCCTTTTTCTATTAAAAAATCAGTTCTTTTTCCATCCAAGGGTACGTAGTTTCCTTGTCTTCTTTTTTCTTTTATGACTATTTTAACCAAATTCTCCAACTCTTTCATGTATCAAAATCCTAAGAGAAATCATCCAAATAGAATTCCAATTCTATTTCTCACTGCAAGATCTAACCAGTGCCAGTTGCATGAAAGCCAGCTGCTTGCACTCTCCAATTTTAGAGCCGCACCCGTATCGGAAATCATACACATTGGTGTGGATGTTGGATTTATGCTTGACCATTCATCAGCATGTTAGGCATCTGAAAATCCCGATGGTCCAGAACCAGAGGCTGTGATATTCTCTAACTAACAGAATTACTAATTTTGAATGTCTAAATCTTTAACTTTTTTGCATAAGTTGTTATTAATTAGCTATATGTTACCGATTTCTTTACAAACTATTTTTTTTACAAAAAAGATTACATTAGCTTCCATGTTGTTTTTATTTTTTGTTTAAGTAACCCCAATTTTGGGACTCTTGTTGACAAAGTCCCCATATATTTGACTGCAAAACTTTTGTAATATTGGATAATTCATATCCTAGTCCCAGCAATGTATTCTGAGGGTTTAGAAGTTTGGTTTATGTATAAGTCTTTTTATTTAACTTGTGGTCCTAGGACTTGTTCTTATGATCTAAATATGATTGTCAACAGCTTTGGTCATGAGCTCTTGTTTGTCTTCTTAGAGAAGAGAGTAGATATAGAGAGGAGAAGAGAAGAAGGGAGAGAGTAGAGAATGCAAGAATAGGGAGAATAAGAGAGAAGAGAGTTCGAATTTGAGGAATTATGAATTCAAATTTATGTTATTCCTCTTCCCTCCAACTACACTATTTATACTAGGATTCAAAATTCGGTTACACCTGAAATGAGCAGAAAAAGAGAATTTCCCATTTTCCCAAAATCTAACTTACAATTTTTCCTTTTTCCTTTGATACAACTTTAGTGGTTTCCTTAGATTGACCTGCAGAGGTTCTTTTTCTTCTTCTTCTTCTTTGTTGCATTAATTTTGTTGTCGTCTTTCTTTTCAGACAATTTTTGCAACTGATTTGCATTCTCGCAGTTTCATACAACTTCCGAAGCCTGTTGGTGTTGATTTCCGTGCCTCGTAAGTTTAACAAAGTGGATAGTTCTTTTTCCACTTCACACTCTTTTATAATGTTTTTCCTTATTGCTTCATTGATTACAATGATTTCATTTTTGCTTCATTTTTGCTGTCCTATGTCACTTGAGAAATAAAAAGGGTGGCAAATAAAACTCCAAGGAATTTTGTATTGTTGTCCTTTTACAGTATCGTGGCTACAGCTTCCCTTTGTTTAGTATAGTACTGTATAATACTTGCTTTAACTTATGGTCTATGGTGTATGGTTGGGCATTTGTGGGTTGGTGCGGGTTTGGTTAAGGAGGAGATTTGGGTGTTGTGGGGTGGGGGGAATTTGTTAAAAGAAGAAATGTATTAAATTTATTCCTTTAACTATTCTTTGGGTGGTCTAGAAAAAAGAAATTGGAGGGCTTTTGACGGGGTAGAGAGTGGCATTTCTAAACTAAACGACAGTTGGTATCATTATTTTGGCTCCATTTTTTGGGGGCACGACATGTATAGGATGGAAGATTTTGGATATGTCATTGATAGTATTATTGAGATGTAAATATTTTTTGTAAATGGATTGCACCCTGTTGGTGCTATAGTCTAATATACTGTTTATACTTTTTATCTCAAAAAACAATTACTTTCTTTAACTTAGAACTGGTTAAAATGTTTCTGCTCATGTTTTAGAAATACACTAGATGAATTAATCTCATGTTTAGGACAGTTGTTTGCCAAGAACTATTTCCTTAATTCTGAGAAAATTTTAGAGAAACTTGGATGAGAAGCAATTTTGGCCTCTCTTCCTTCTCCTTTTGAGTCTACTGCATTATTTATGATGTTCCTCAATCTTTATCTTTAGAATGTTTTCCTTGATTAATTATGTCTCGAACACCCTTTAGCCTGATATGATATCTGGTTATCTTGCTAAAGAAATCAATAGCTGTTTGTTGCTTCATTCACAATACACTGCTGATCAACTTGTGGAAATTTGCAGGTGTTTTTGCCACAAGAATACAATTGACATGGGCTACATCTGTTCTGTATGTTTGTCCATATTCTGTAAGCATCAAAAAAAATGTTCAACCTGTGGGTGAGCACAATTACCTTAATATTTGTGTTGTAGAGCTTTACGTGCTTCAATTCTTCTCATAGTGTGAACTTTCAGATGCTATCTTTTATATTTAACAAGCTCTTTCTGATACTTTGTTGGAAAATCGGACTAGTAAAGCTGCCGGGGCCCCTAATGATCTGGGTTTGTCTTATTGTAGTTTGTGTGTGATGCAGGTCAGTATTTGGTCAATCCCAAGTAGAAGCTACCAACACGTCAAATCTAAAGAGAAAGACTCCAGAATCATAATATATATCCTCCTGTGAAGCATAGAAAGTAACTTCTCTCCATCCATATGGTGCATTGTCAGAGGAAATGTTTTTGATCTCCATTATATAGTGCTTTTTCTAGTTTATAAAATTATAACTATGAGCAAAGGTCTGTTTACTCCGGTAATTTTGACTGCAGACTAGAAACTGTGTTAATGTGCGCGGAGGGTGGAGCAAATTTTCTTCTAGATAATGGCGACATGCTTAATGGAATCTTTAAATTATTTTGTCAATTTGTTTTATTAAATGGTGACATTGCATTTCATGGACAACCTCTTGATCTTCTTTCCTGAGTATGCAGTGTGATTCTTCACTCTGTCACTGCTAAATTGCTAATACAACAAGAAAGAAATTTTCAGCAAGGAGTGGCTTCCCAGCAGAATACTAAGATCGTGTCGTTCATGAAGTCAGGTGCTAGCACTTTGAAAGGATTTTGGACTGATTTTTGTCATACATTTTGGAATGCATAGAGTTGGTTACCTCCTCTCTCCCGGCTATTTACTTGGTACTTTTCACAAACGAGTCTGGTCTATTGAATGTAGTACTTCAAAATTGGTGAAATATTATATCGTTATGAATTTATTTCATTGGTGGCAATGTTGAGTCACTTTATTCAATTATGACCTTTAGAAGGAAAAAAACAAACTAGAATGTTAGTCTTCTGAAACTCCGACTCCTACCCGTTGGGGGGTGTGTCTAGAGTTAACTATGTATCTTTATTGAAATTATTGTTCCACTGTGCGGGAAGTATCTGTGGAGCAACATTGAGAAATCAAGGCAGTTGAAATTATCTTATGGTTTAGTCAATTGAATATTTTATGGGTTTTACCAAATTTTTTAACTTAAATTTGCAACGAATTACTCCATTTCTATAATCTTGTTTTTACTATTTATTTTCTGAAAATTGGCCTTTATTAAACACTTTTACAATGTCTATCATATAATAAAATAGATATTACAAACTGCTAAACATGGTCCACACAAAGATCTTTTCCTTTTTTCCAAATCCAATAAATATGGAGTTATAACATATTGGACGATTTTTTTTTTCAAAGGATATTATGAGAGAGTGTGAGGAATTTTTAGTAGAAGCTTTGCAATGGAGCTCTGGAGCTAAATCCTGACATGCCAACTCCCAGCTTGACAAGTAAAATCCTGATCAATGACAATGCACCAATGATGTGCTTGGAAATTGATCATGGAAATGGATCAATTAAATATTCAATGCAGTCGCTCACTATAATAGAGTTGAAAGCATGTATTTACAATATTTACATTTGTCTTCATGGAATCAAGAGAATGGAAGTTCAGCTATTATGCACACACGCAAACAGCATGAATTTTTTGGGTATAAATTGATTACGCGACAACAATCATCTAGTGGAAACGGTACTTCAGAGAGCCTTTAGAACAACCATGGCCGTTTTGTGAACACCCTTTGCTGCAATTTTTAAAACACCACGGCTCCTGTACAACCTGAATCAAAAACCCATGTCAAAAAAGGAGAAAAGAAACATATTTAACTTGTCTCCAGTATATTTTAAAGGAATGGAGAAAAAGCAGTCTTATGTCTACTGGGATTTTCATAACGGCACAACTCAGATCAACAGAACAAAAAATCTATTCAAAAAGATGTAAGCAGAAAATCCATTAAAAGCCCATTTGTATGTTATTTTTTTTAGGGAAAAAGAACTGAGTAGCAAGGCTACTAATGTGGCTGCTCTTATTTCATTATACAATGTCTTGTTTGAGTCATAGTTACTACGTTAAATTAGCCTGTCTGTGCGGCTCAGTAAGACCAAAGTAGTCTAAAAAGCTCTCTAAATAAAATTCCTTTCAAGGAAGATATAAGATTATCCAAAATGTCAAAAAAAATTTCCTACATTAACATTGTCAATATCTTTTGCTTGAAGCACTAGGTGTGTAACACTTGATTACTATCTTAATGGTAAAAAAGTTTCATGTTACTCAATTGAGAAGAAGACAGTTGATCGCAAAAACTTCTGGATTTCTCTGTATGAAAATGGAAGTATAGTTCCCATCTTTTAATAAATGCGTAAAATATTAGGTTTTAAATTTATTCACTAGTTTCCTTTTTATTTTTCCCTTGACAACCTCGAGCAGTGATTTACCGTGAGTGCCAATGAATGCAAGCAATGCTTGAAAGATGAAGTACAACTCACCCTATTAACGCAAGCCCCCATGTTGAGAGCGTATAGAACATTTTTCCAGCATGCCAAATATTCATCACCTTCTCCAGCTTCTCCAGCTTGCTCCCACCACCCAACTCTTTGGCCAAAACTACAAAATGATTGACGTCACTAAAATAAGTAACAAAATAAATTTAACTAATCAGAATTATACTATGATGGATCCAGATAGTTCATACCAAAGTTGGGTAAATGGTGCTAAGCGTAGAGCTAAAATATTGAATTCGGCCAATCAATGAACTCAAAAAACAGATGAACACAGGTTTTATAACGTCCAAGGCATCAAGTTAGGCAATTGAAAGAATCATGCTCCATCAGGAAAACAAAGAAAAAAATCAACTGAACAGTGCCAAATCATTCATGACCTCATGCACACAATAATGCATTCTAGTGCTTTGATGTTCATCAAGTTGATATTCATGCATGCCCATGAATAGCTAATTACTAAGATAGTAACAGGACGAAAAACTAGAGATTAATTTCCTTATGAATCATGTGACAATAAAATCATAAGGTTCTACATCTTAATATTTTACAGGCAGAAAAGCATTGAGATCAGTTGGCGAAGCTGTGAACTTATACCCTGGCTCTAGTTCCGGGGTTGCACATTCTGGCCTGTAACTATAGACATGCTCTAAGCAGGTTGGCCTGCTTTAGATAAAGCCAGAAAGAAAAAAGTTAAAACTGTGAACTTACTTTTCTGCAGCTCCTCTGGTGCCAAACCCTGCAATTCCAAGAATGTAAATGTGTAAGGCACAGCCTGAAGAGTTAATATTGATCATTACGTTTAAATTGCCTGGTACCCGAGCTTTTGGATGTGAAATCATGCATTTAGCCATAAAGTTGGCAATGCCATCTACCACGTGTTCCTCAGTGATAATTACATAATTTTCATCATCAATTCCACTTCGTTCTTCGACCTTACTTGGAACCATGTCATCAGTGACCCATACCCACCAACTGGGTTGATCATGGTCAACATTAATGAGGACTTCAGCTGAATGCAAATCTTCTCCTAATCAATGACCCAAAAGGAAAGGTAGATTATATGGTTATACAACTTAACAAACAAATGTAGGTACAGCAGAAATCAATGTACACATAGAGAGAACAGCAATTGGTTTGATGCAACAACCTGTGGGCTCTCTGAATGGGAACTCGTTGCCAGTTCCATCTACTGATGCCTGGCTAAAAGAATTTAGCCGAGTCAAGAAATCCTTAGAATTCACAGTAGATATTAGACGTTTGTACAGCTGCATTTTTTGAGGAAAGAAGAAATTACGCGCAAGATTAAGACAAAAAATCAATCTAGAGTGAAAATTATAGTTTAACATCGATAAAAAATTGCCATTTCTCAACCAAAAAGCTAAGCAGGAAAGTTAAGCAGGACTCTCCATGTCATGAAAAAGTCAGTAGCATTTGTATCCTAAAAGTATGAACTTCCAACAAAAACGGCATAACGAAATTGATAATTGAACCCCATACCATACCCAAATAACAAAAAAAAGAAATACCAACTCATCATTTGAACTTTAGACTTCTTCTCATGAACGACGCCCATACACTCATTGACATAGTCATTTCCCGAAAGTAAAGAAAGCTCAACAATCAAGATATAGAAGCAAAATTTTCTTTAAAAACGAAATGAACACGCAATTTACANNNNCATCTGGAGGGCAATCTGTAATAGAGCGGGAGATTCGGAGAGATTTGAGAAGCTTGAGGTTTTGCTCGAGTAAGCTCTAAGATGCCCGGTTTTCTGACTAAGAGATTCCAATTCTCGTCCCAAAACTTTGGTCTCATCACCGTCGAGTAAGTATTGATCATCATGAGATTCCTCGTCTTATGGGGGTTGCCGTGATGGTGGCAGCAGTCCACGGCAGTCCATGCTATGTCAGCAACCTCCAAAACTGTCTTGGCAACCTCCATCGCGTCATGGCCGCCCATGATTTCTTCGCCTAATGGTCTTGATTTCAGGTCCTTTTCGTCAATAACCGAACCCTCAATGATGACCGTGTTCCTCTTGGACGGAGAGATGATGATTATCGTTTGCGTGTCAGAGATTAGTTTTATTTATTTATTTATTTTGCAAGCAGGCCCTTCAAAAACTACTTTTTTAGCCATTTCTATTTTTTATTTTTTGCTCTCCTGTTAATAAAAAGTTGTGTATTTACCTTTTTTTAATTAATTAAATTAAATATTGTTAACAATACTATTTCTTTTAATTCTTTTTAAAAGACAAAAATAATATTAAATATTTGTTAGTTGGTTTTTAACTCTCTATATTATTTAAAAATTTAAAAATATTTTTAAAAATCAACTTATCTGATTTTCTATTTTTAAAATTTATAAATATATTTTTTAAAAAAATTATTTATTGTTTACAAATATCTTAAGATTTCTGAAACGGCTCGTGAAGTTGAAATGAAGTAAATTATAAATTAAATGCGAAAGCAAAATAATAGTGTTAGGCTTTACATTCCTTACACAATAATTTATGATATCCAATAAGATTATGAAAATGACTATTCTAAAAAAATAACTAATAATCAAAAAAATAAATGAAAAATAAACAAATTCAATGTTCTACTCACAACCTTTTTATGGATTGGGCTCTGAATCTTGATTCTCTTGATTTGAAATGGTTAATTGAAAAAGTGAGTTACACTAACCCAGTAAGAATATTACGCTACTCATCGACACATAAATTAATATTTGTAAAAATCATAAAAATAACTAATAGAGCTCTTGATTTAAGTAAAATTCGTTTATCATAAATAAAATCATTTACTGCATATTTCTAAAACTGACCTATAGAGTCAATAACATAACAATATTATAATTTTATATTCAGTCGGAACAATAACTTTCTCATTTATCAGTCTACTGGTATCCATGGGACTCCATAGGGATGTCCCTACTACGCGTGAACTTTTTTTTAACATTTTCAACTACCAGGCCGTCCATATACCGCATCCGATATGAGTGTTAAGAAATATCATCCTTCAATACCCTATTCGGTATGAGGGTGAAACGGACCGTCTTCATACTCCGTCCGGTATGAGTGTCAAATTACCAATCATTGATACCCCATTCGATATGAGACAACGTTCAGGGTAGGGTTCCTTATGTACCCGGTCCGTCCACAATCTCTAAGGATATCCAGTAAGGTTATCATTCATCTTTTCACTTAATTAAACAATCTTTCGTTTACCTTTAATTTTCAATTTCTCAATTTTAACTGTAAATCACGTAAAACATGTAATACATGCATCAAGGAAATACAATTGAGTTATTATACCAATTCGGGTGTATTATCATGCATTCAAACTGTAAAATCAGTCAATCAGTTAAACATGACAAGCAGTAATAAATAACCGGTTCTGACTTCATTAGTAACATGTAATTAATTATAGATATTTTTTAATTTGTACAAAAGACCATATTATTTATAATTAAATTTCAATTCCATAACAAGGAATAGGGTGAAGGATTCTTACTCAAATTGATGTCCGAAATGCTAAACTTTCAAATGCGTCTACTAGCGGTCCCAGGTTCCCTAAATTTTTTTTTGAGGATTAAAACATACTTCAAGTACCTACAAATACTCAAAAAAATTAAAATCAGTGTTAGAAACCCTTTTTGGCAAATTCTGAAAGTCCGGCATGGCGGCTCCATCGTGCTCCAGCGATGGCACTGCCACCTGCGGTGGCAGTTTACCTCGGGTTGGTTGTTTTTGGTCATTTTCGGCTGATTTCGACCAGTTTTGTACCCATCCATGCGAGAAAACACATTAAGGGGCGGCGGTTGGCTGAAAAAAGTAAAAAAAAATCAAAGCTTACGGGCGACGGAGTTTTTCGGTGCGGCGGCTTCGCGGGCTCACCTTCACGGTTGAATATTTTGCTTCGGTCAACCTATAGAAAAAGAAATAGTGATTACAATAGTAGAAAAATTACATGAAATGGGAATCAAGAAGAGCCTCATCGGAGGTGATTTTTACTTTTTTTCGCGGCAGCGCCGTCGAGATTTACTCGCGATTTTCGCTCATCAACCAGTTCTTTTGTTGTGATTTAGTCATAGGGGTATTTAAAATTGAATTTCGAGCAAATAAGGAAAACTTTACCTCTTTTGGCGGTCGAAAGTGGCTCCGACACAGCGGTGACGGTGGTCGGCTCCCTTCTCGGCGACTGGCTCTTATTTTCTAGCGGGGGGTATGGCAGCTCGGGTTAGGGTTTGGTGTGAAGATGAGTATTTATATATGTCTCTTTTTAATCTGGGTCGTCCATCGCATTTTATCTGAACCGTCTGATTGTATTTAAATAAGAAATAAATCTGAACCGTTCATCGTGATTTAATCTAGATCGTCCGATTGTGTTTAAATAGGAAGTGGATCTAGACCGTTCATCATGTTTAATCGCGACTGTCTAATCACATCTAAGGAGGGAATAGATCCGGACCATCGACGAGTGCGGAAATAAATCTGGATCGTCTAATTGCGGGCACGCGGATCGCCAGCATGGCCTTCTGCATGGCACCGTGTCAACGTGCCTTACCACGCGGTACGCTTCTGTTCGTCGGGGCTGCTGACTAGGCGTCCTATGTGACAAATTTTTCTTAAATTATGTTTTAACTCATAGTTTCTGATTTTTCTTTCAAAAACACATACATAATCCAAATTTTCACACATTTCTCCCAAAATTATTTTCAATTTCATCATCCACCTATTTTTTCATAATTTTACATTAAATAATAATTTATAAAATCAAAAATTAAATTTTATACATAAATTTTGAATTTTACAAATTAATTTCGAGTATTACAACTCTCTACCCTTAAAGAAAATTTGGTTCCTCAAATTTGCCTCTCTCTCATTCAATCAAACAGTTGGGGATACTGGATTTTGAAGTCTGCTTCTAGCTCCCATGTGGCCTCTCTGTGTGTGTGATTATGCCATAGGACCTTAACAAAGGGAATTTCTTGGTTGCAGAGTACTCTGCTCTTTCGGTCCACAATACCCACCAGTATTTCTTCGTAAGACAGATCCTCCTAGAGCAAAAGGGGCTCATGGGCCAGGACGTAATAGGGGTTCGAGTTGTATTTACATAACATAGACACATGGAACACATTATGGACCCTGAATAGTTCTGGAGTCAGTACCAGCCTGTAAGTGATGATGTCAATTCTGTCTAAGATTTCAAATGGCTCAATAAACTAGAAATTTAGTTTTTTCCTCTTGCCAAACCTACTAATTCATTTGAAAGAAGTGACATTAAGGAACACTCAATCATCTTTCTCAAATTTTAAATCCCTCATCCGGGTAACCGCATAACTCTTCTGTCTTGTAACGGTCCCGGAAATTTAAAATGGAGTGTATATTAAAAATATCAAATGCGGAAGCGAAGTCAAAATTTGAATAACATCCCTTACACTAAAACCAAAACGTGCTCACAAAATATAAAAGATTAAACTACCTAAAGGAGAAACTTGAAAGTAAAAACTACGAAGGTGATTATGGAGTCCTTAGGCGTCCCCTTCGTCGTCCTCCTGCGGAAGCGGCTCGGGAACGATGTCCTCTTGATCTGAAATGATTAAATAAAGAATGAGCTACACTAGCCCAGTAAAGACATCACGATATCTCACCGTCACGGAGGTAAAGGTGGGTAGAAAAACACAAAAAGACCAATGGAGCATAATTTACAACAAATCCTTTTATCGAAAATAAAACCTTTACCATTTACTCACCTCGGTGAAATTCATAAAACAATATACGAAAGCAATAACATCATCATCATCATGAAAACATATATATGAACTGTATAACATAATACCTATCACACTTTTCGTAATTCAATAGTTTCACAACATATTTTCCTAATTCACAAGCCCACTAGTATCCATAGGGATCCATAGGGGTCCCGCTAACCGTTAATCCTTAACACTTGAGATTATATTCCAGGACCGTCCCTATACTCCGTCCGGTATGGGCGCCAAACCATAGACCTCATTACCCCGTCCGGTATGAGGGTGAAACGGGCCGTCCCCATACCCCGTCCGGTATGGGCGCCAAACCATAGACCTCATTACCCCGTCCGGTATGAGGGTGAAACGGGCCGTCCCCATACCCCGTCCGGTATGGGCGCCAAAACACATAAGATCTCCATACCCCGTCTGGTATGGGAGACCACAATCCCGGTAGGGTTCCCTACGGACCCGGTCCGTCCACCATCTCCCAGGATATCTAGTCAGGCTGAACACATTATACAATTTCCATTCACGTAATCTTTCATTCGCCTTTTCCCTCAGTCAGCATTTTCAATCACATACAAACAAGCTAAACGATAATTTATGCCAAACACACAACATGCAGTATCAACACCCCAGTCATTCAATCCATAATCAATAAAACAGTACAATATGCATACGAAACCATAAAATGGAAACATCGAACCTCATGCTGCATTGAAGACTGTAAAACAGGCCAAATAACAGTTAACCGACAAATACACTAGATTCGGGCTCCATTAGCGACCTTAAGCAATTTCACACATTCGTTGATTCATGAAATACCGTTTTATCATTTATTGAACTTTAAAACCGTGATAGGAAATAGGGTGAGGGGTCCTTACTCGTTTCGGGGTCCGAACACGGCTTCGCAGTGCGCCTACAGGCTGTCCCTAATTTTCCCTGAATTTTCCTCGGGGAACTGAAACGCACTACTGGTACCTGCACGTGTTCCAAAAAAAATCCCAAATTAGGCCCAGGGCCCCTTTCGGCCCAAATCGCAACTCTGGCACGGCGGCTCCGCCGTGCTCCGGCGACGGCGCCGCCGCTGGAGGCGGCGATTCGCCTCGGGTTGGCTATTTTCGGCCGTTTCTTGCCGAATTCGGCCACACTCGCATCGGTCCCTGCGAGAAAACAACCCTAGGGCCCTCGGGGGGCCAAAAAATCACGGAAAAACGGAGCTTACCGGCGGCGGCGCTATCGGGTGCGGCAGCTCTCCGGCGAGGTTCGTGTTTTGGTGATTCGGCTCCGGTCAACCTGTAGAGAAAAGAGTGGTGAT